AATACCTAAATGTTTTTTTTTTTTATATCCAAAATCCATGAATTCATATCACAGAAAAAATTGTTTGGAATACATGTTTGTATTAAAATTACCTTATTTGATGAGATGGCTGGTTTTCCGTGATTACCTTATATTGATATGCTGGATATGAACGCCTAGCCAATATATGTCAGTTAGATCAAGATTTCTGTCCTACTTAGGCAAAATCAAATGGATTGGGCAAAACACAAGATAATTCCACTAAACTTTCGTACATACCAAATGGCATCTTAAATTTCATTTGCAAGACTGTAACTTAACGTACCCATGGTGCTTCAGTTATAACAAGGTAGCGGAGTTGTTTTTCTTTTCAAGAATTATTTTTTCCATTGGTACGGGGTTTCTATTTAGGTAAGTTTGCCGCCATGAAAGTCATCAGATTCAGAATCGAATTTAGGTCCGTAACGTAACAAGCAGTCTTAATACCTGGTACCTTAAGAGGTAGAGGTTGCAAAAGTATCATATACATGTATCTATGCTAATAATAATAATAATATACAACATTTATATAGCGCCCTATATAATTTGTAAAATTACTCTAAAGCGCTTTACAACATATGGATAATAGTAATGGTTATAATTGTGATTTAACAAAAAACAAAGGCTTACAATCACTTTTATACATTTAAGCAAGCAATGTGCACATAATTGAACAAAGAAAATGCTGGTTTTTACATGACGTCTTTGCAAAGAATCTAAAATGCAGACGTGAAGAGGTGAGTTTTGATGTCCCTCTTGAACTTGGCCAGGGTATTTGACTTTCTAATAGTAGAAACCCTCCCAAAGCATCTGTTTCCGTAGGTCACAGTTCGAGATTTTGGGACGCACAACAAAGATTCTGACTCCGACCGCAGTGATCGTGACGGCTGATACAGGATAACAAGCTCCTGTAGGTATGGAGGAGCTGTTCCATTCAGTGCCTTGTTCGTGTACACCAGAATTTTGTACTGCGACCTGTATCGTACAGGTAACCAGTGTAACGAATAAAGCACATGTGTGATGTGCTCTCTCTCTTTCGAGTACGAGTAACTAGCCGTGCTGCAGTGTTCTGGACCCTCTGCAGACGACTTGTTAGTTTGTCAGATATACCACAGAGCAGGGCGTTACCATGAATATTCCAACCGAGAGGTAATAAGTGAATGCACCAAAATCTTGCATGCATCTGCATTTAAAAACTGCCGAATACAGCCGATGTTCCTGATGTGGTAGTAACAGGATTTGGCAATAGCGTTCACATGTTTAAATGAATTCAGGATATATTCAAAATGATTAAGACTTTAAACGATTTAGATATGCAATTAAATAAATATATCCCGGGATACTACATGTAATTACAGACATCTATGAATTCAGGATATATTCAAAACGATTAAGACTTTAAACCAATTAGATATCCTATTAAATAAATCTATCCCGGCATATACTACATGTAATTTAGAGAGATATCTCATATAATTAGAATGACATGTATTTATCTGATATATAAAGATTACTTGGCTTGCCAAAGGATTCCTTCTATCGCGTAATTGATATCAAATACAAGTGAAAAATGTATATGTAGTTAAATTAGAGAACAGTTACAACACACACAATATTGTAAGTCAGCTTGAAAATAATAGTCGCAGAGCCAGGTCGGCAGTGGAATAATTTCCTTGACGGACAGAAAGGTATGTGCGACAGTTAAATTGTTTTGCACTGATCTTTATCATATGGAACACTTATTGACTCGATCGATCTAGGTCTTTAAGACGCTTATCTTCTAAATTTTTGTAAACCTGATCTTCATGACCAATCCAGGTCTTTCAGACGCCTTTTCTCATCTGTATCACGTAAACGCTTGTAAATCATGGTCTTCAGGACGCTTAAATTAAGGATCAAGGTCTTTAAAACGCTTTTCTCATCTGTATCGCGTAAACGCTTGTAAATCATGGTCTTCGGGACGCTTAAATGACCAATCTAGGTCTTTCAGACGCTCTTTTTTCCTCATCTGTATCACGTAAACACTTGTAAATCATGGTCTTCAGGACGCTTAAATTAAGGATCTAGGTCTTTTAGACGCTTGTTCTCATCTGTATCGCGTAAACGCTTGTAAATCATGGTCTTCAGGACGCTTAAATTAAGGATCTAGGTCTTTAAGACGCTTGTTCTAATCAGTATCACGTAAACGCTTGTAAATCATGGTCTTTTGGATGCTTTATTCATCATCAGTATCAACAAACTGCTAGTCTTTCGGACGCTTAAATGAAGGATCTAGGTCTTTTAGAGGCTTTAATGACCAATCTAGGTCTTTAAGACGCTGGTTCTCATCTGCATCACGTAAACGCTTGTAAATCATGGTCTTTTGGACGCTTTATTCATCATCAGTATCACCTAAATGCTTGTAAATCATGGTCTTCAGGACGTTTAATGACCAATCTCAGTATTTTAGACGCTTATTTCCCCATCTGCATCACATAAACGCTTGGTGTTCAGGAACTTTTCCTAATTTGGGTCATATGAAAGCTTAAAACAAGACATCAATGTTCCCACCTTTTCCCGAATTTGTATCACCTAAAAAGCTTGAATATTAGGGTATGCAATTCTAAAACTTTTTTGAATTACCAACGTAGCTTTTCAGTGATGTAGATTAGGATAATGTATGCTTGTTTCATATTGATTTAAACATATTTTATCGATATAATCAAATGGATTGGGCACAAGTTATAACAACTTATAGAAGCCCTCTCCTCGACTATAATATTACATTGTTAGTGATAGCGACATATGACAATCAAAATAATTGTATGAAAACAAGGAACATGGAGAACTTTTAGCTAAATATTGCTAGTTTGCATTATAAAACAAGGTCATTTCACATGAAGTTTTAAAGTACTTTATATAAATATATTCTTATTTGGAAATTTTCATTTTTTTTAGCTCTGCACACAGCTCAGTCCAAGTGCGCCACCTGAACCGTTTCAACCAAGACATGCAAACTTTTCCTATTCTCTTTTACCAAAACGCTTATAAATTGGCCAATCAAACTCTTGTTCTCATGTCACCAAAACATTTGTAAATTGGTGTTTTTGCGGCACTTTCATTGCCAATCTTGATATTTTCTTTTTCTGTATCACGATAACACTTGTAAATTATTGTCTTTTGGATACTTGAGATGTTGATCTTGATCAGTCACACTTTTTTTTACTTATCGTGTTGCTTCTTGCACAATGGTTCTTTTAAACATTTTCAAAACTGAAAGCCTAAAAAAAGCATGACCTTTCAATTCCTTTCAGTGACAAATGTAACACCTGTTTCTTATGGTAATGAAAGATAACTTTTTTTAACCATTTAAAATAGCCCTTCAATCCTTTGTATAAATATGTACAACTAAATAATGCCCAAAATTAGTAGGATTAGTGGATTTTCAAATCCAACAACCTGACTGATTGAGATTTCTTAACAGAAGTATTATTCAGTATGATGGAGAAAAATTCAACAAGAAAAATACAATTTTATAAATAACTTATCACAGGTTCAAATGTTACATACAAAGAATAGTTCCTCCAGAACGCTGTCTTTTTTTTCCAAACACTAAACTACAACAGTATATAGTTTGGACTTCCTTATAAAAGTAGACTACTGTTTATGTCATTTTCTGCAGCAATATCTCTAGCACTACTGTGTAATTATGCGATATATCTGAGACATGAATTTTGAGTTGTGGTACCAGGCAAACCTTTGAGAATGTACCAGTGAAGTGTACTTAGGGGACATCCCAACACAGTGAAGTATACTTTGGGGACATCCCAACACAGTGAAGTATACTTTGGGGACATCCCAACACAGTGATGTAGTCATTTGGGGACATCCCAACACAGTGATACAGTCATTTGGGGACATCCCAACACAGTGATTTAGTCTTTAGCGGACCTCCCAGCATTGTGATGTGAACTGGGGGACATACCAGCACTGTAATAAAGTCTTTTGGGGACATCTAAGCAGTGATGTAATCTAAGGGGAACATCTCAGCATTGATGTAATCTTAGGGGAACATCCCAGTAGTGATGTAGATTTAGTCGTCGGGGGACATCTCAGCACAGTGATGTGAACTGGGGGACATCCCAGCTCAGTGAGGTAGTCTACGGGGGACATCCTGGCAGAGTGATGTAGTCTTCAGGGGACATCTCAGCACAGTGACGTAGTCTACGGGGGACATCCCGGCACAGTGATGTAGTCTTCGGGGGACATCCCGGCACAGTGATGTGAACTGGGGGACATCTCCGTAGTGATGTTTTCTTAGGGGGATATCCCAGCACAGTGATGTAGTCTGAAATCCCAGCACAGTGATGTAGTCTGAAATCCCAGCACAGTGATGAAGTCTGAAATCCCAGCACAGTGATGTAGTCTAAAATCCCAGCACAGTGATGTAGTCTGAAATCCCAGCATTGTGATGGGAACTGGAGGACATCTCTGCAGCATTACTTTGTGGGATGTTTCACACAAGCAATGTGACCTTTTTTTTCTTCGATTTTATTTACATCTTTAACAGAAGAAAAACAGTGTTGCTAACAGTTTTGTGTCATATTGATATTTAATCCTATACCAAATTTTAAGATTTGGTTTCAATAAAATATTATTTTAGGTTTCTATGAAAAAGGCATGCAATACATTTGTCATGCATGCATGTCCGTGTAACTACATAAATCGTCCACAAATGCTTGGTAAGTTAAAAGGCCTCAACGTTACCTTAATATGACATCAGCAACGAACAAAATGTTGAATTCATTTCTATTATTAAATATAGCTAAGAGTTTGTAGTTAAATCCAAGCAAAAATGTTCCTGCAAACCTTGAAAGTCATAGCAGAAAACAAGATAAAATCATTTTTTTCATCTGAACAACTGTGGTCCAACCAGTTACAACATTATACACAGCAGTGGGCCAGAAATGATAAACAGTTACCATCACGTACCTGTTGTCATAAGGTCAGCAGCAGACTGTCAAAGTCAGGTGTACATACAAGCCTCTTGTTGACGTGGCCAAGCACGGCCATGTGACCTGCATCTCCGCCATCATACTTGGTTTCTACTGAAACTAAATCCTGAAAATGACCAAAAATCTGCCTCAAAGAATGAATAAATACATATCACTGCACAAATTTAATAGTACTCCATTACAACCAGAATACAAATTGTTAGTAACATCATTTAAGATTCTGCAACAAAAACAATTGATGTCCTGCGAGAAAAGATTCGGCTAATGTAGTAGCGTTACAACAAAACAAAGGATTGTATGGACATCATCATAACATTTGGTGCAACAATAATTTCTTTTTTTAAGACAAAGCAAATCCTTTTTCTATCTCTCGGGTTTTACTGCATTAATACTGTGATGACCAACAATTCATTACCATAATACCTGTAAGAATCCACATTTGGTTCCCATGGAAACATCGAGTGTGATGTTGCCCAGCACTAGCTGTGTACGCCCCGACTTCCGCACCAACAGTTTACCCATGTATCCCTCAGAGAAATCCGAGAGGGAACAGGAACTCATCTTCTTAGCTAAGTCATCCTGTAATATGGAATTTAACATAAACTTACAGAACCAAACACTTGCAACTTTTTATCAATCAGGCCTAAAGACAATAACTCAAACATGTACAGAAGTACCGGTCCAGGATTTTATCGCACTCATTAAACAATTACTAACCCCAGCCTTAGCCCCGGTCTGGGATTTCTGCCTGTCATCACCATCTCCACCTCGATTACTGGCTGGAACTCCAGGCATGGTGTCGGGGAATTGGAAAAACATCAAGTCACTGTTTTCTATGTGGAGAAAATGACCAGCTTTACACACATATATTCTTAATGTCTTACAGTTAAGAGAGTTTATCTAGATTCTTAAATCTTGTCCAGCAGATGCTTTGATGCAAATTTTACTTTCTAAATACAGAAAACTTTTTATTCAGAAAACTTGGTACCTGAAATCTTCTGGAAAAATTATGTTTCGCTATACATGTACATTGAATTAAACAAATGGCAAATCAGTAATGTTCAGTGTTGTGAAAGAGGGAGGACTCCTGTTAATGACACATTGATGACTAAGCTAAATCTTTTATCGAAAAGCTGACAGACTATTTATGGACATGTTGCACCATACAAAAAGCACACTTGCCTTTCTGCTGGATTGGAAGGACACATTTTAAGAAATACTGTTTATGATCAGTTACTTTCAACCAATCTGATTTTGATTTTATTTCTTGATCAATTATTTGATAAATTTCAGAAGTCACAATATGGAAAACTTTGAGGTTTACCTGTTTTCCCAAGGTTCGTAAAGAGCTGATCACAGCTTTCATCAACCACAACTGGAGACTGCCTTAGTCCCGACACTTTGGGCGACTTGGAATCAACACTGTCCACCTCGGCATCAAAACCAGGTTCCTCTAAAAATGAAATTAAGTTATTGTTAGTACATGATGAAAGCAGTGCAGGTCTAGATACAGCATGACCCAATGAGTAGAGTGTTGGCCTATTATTGACCCTAAATGTTGTATGTTCAAACAGTACAGACAGCAGTTTAGCAACTGTTATCGTGTATTTGAACACAATTCCCCCCCCCCCCCTTACCATTTCAGCCTACTCATCAAATTCAAAAGTGTAGCAGAATGCAAGGAAATAAAATGTGATTGAAGTCTCTTTATGCACCACAAATTCATCACATTATGGTTATTTAGGCTATTGTTCTAGGAAACGGAATTCTCTTTCGCTATGTTATGAAAAACTACTGACAATCATTCTGGACTCAATTGAACTTACTTTTGATCTTGGTGTTGCTGACATTAGTGAGATCCAGTTTCGTTTGTCTGTCCACCATGGCACACAGAGGTAGCAGCACAGGCTGGGTGGTAGGGTCTTCAGCATCACAAGAGGTGTCTATAAACTGAAACAGGAACAAAAATAGAGTTACAATTTCACCGAGACATGAATTATTCTCAGTGGACATACATGTACATTATTCATCAATAGACAAAAACCATTCATTAGTCGAGACTTACATCATCCCTCAGAAGATAGTCCAGGACTTGCTTGGATCCATCCTCACCCCGTTCTGTCTTGATCCCAGTCCTGATCCCCCCAGAGGATGAGGCAGACTTTGAACCTCCCCCTCTGCCGCCACCACCACCACCACTACCTCCACCACCTCCTCCCCCTCCCCCTCCTCCCCCTAGGTAGTCACTGGTGAATCCTGAACCTGAAATACACAATCAAAACCTTAAATACACAGTTAATTTCTCTTATTGTAGACATCCAGTCAATAGTTGTTTCACATTTCATACTGTAAAAGCATGTATTTACTTTGGGGTTAAGTTTTGTTGTTTTTGTTTTGGGACAAATGTGTTGGGATTATATTTCGTGGAAGCAATATTTTAAAACCCTGTGGGTTTGTTTTTTTTTGTATTAAAAGTAGGAAGTTAAAATTGACAGGCGTCGGGCCACATAATAGGTCCGGCTAACTGAACATCGCCAGAGGTGATCACCTGTCCACTCAAGGTGAAGTTTTCACACCTCCCTTCACCCCAGTCAGAGGAAAACAATAGATCGACCATTGCTCGATGGCCATATAATTAAGTTTAAACAAGCATGTATGGTAGTTAATATAGCTATCTAAAATGGAAATAATTAGGCCTACCAACATTTTATAACACAAATTCTGGTAAGAAAACGAGCATGCATTTCATAAATATTCACGGTTAACCTTCACACATCATGTCAGAAAATCATGCTAAGTTCAATGAAAATATTACTCCAGAAGGAAGACGTGTGTTTTTAACCATTTAAGCAATAGTTTCTCTATTGCATTAGAAATTGATTTCCCCGTGTCTCCGTTGAAAAAGTGTCAAAATCGGGGCATACTGTCCTGACAGCATGGTGCCAGAAATTGATCCAAAGTTAACGTTATTGTCGTAAACAACTGACGACGACTGCATTATTTACACTATACACCCTTTTCTTTGAATAGAATATTTGATTAATGTTAAAAAGGGAATGTTATGCATTTGTGGTATTTTAATATTGTTTACTTTCTATACAAGTTGATTTCACTGCACGACTTGTGAGGTACAGGTAAGACCAGGTGAGATTTACTCACTCGATGGGTACTGGTCAAATCCAAATATTATGCTTTTACAGTAGTACAGACATACATTTTCATATCCTACAATTATCAAAATAATCATTCACAATATTGCTTCAATTAAATTGAAGACTCCAGACACTATGTAGAGACGGGACATATATATCATTGTGATGAATAAGCAATGTCATGTTTTGGATAGGGTCAGAAATGCTGAGCTACAATACTGTACCTTTGGCTAATTTCTCTACGGGCCCTTGCTCAAAAATGGAATGTGACTGGATGACATCTTGCGGCTTGCCCCTTCCTCGGCCCCGTCCACGTCCTCTGCCCCTCTCTGGTCCTGCCCCTCTTCTATCAGCACTATGCCCTCTTTTTCCATCCTTCTTTGGACCTTCATCTTGTACTTGACTTTTAACCAAAATAAAATATATTCCATATCTTTTACATAAATCTCATAAAATGGAAAGTGATTTTATACAGTACACAATGTAGCTTAAACAGTTAATAGAGATTGTATGCGACACTGGCCGGGCAATCACAGGAAGAGACTGAAAGTCAGCAGATCAACAACTCTTAACAAAAGAGAAGGTAGCAGAGAAGTCATCCAGCTGGCCCTGGTGTAATGGAGATGAAAAGAGCCTGCAGCCAACTATCCACAGGCAGTGATTCAGGTTTTCCTTATAGGAGTCAAACATCCTGCATTAATGCATTTTTGCATTCAAGCAGTTGGACATACGTACAGTATACAAGTATGAGACATGTAACTTTGTACAGGTCCAGTACACTCTGCCGATTGAGCTATATAGCTTTAAAGACCTATATTCACCTATAAATTATAGCTGTATTGAGTTATATTTTCTCAGATTTCAATTTTCATTAAATTAAAGCAAAGTTGCATAAAACAATAAGGTTTATGGTAATGTTGACCACAAAAAGCATACATTTATATGTTTATCTTCATTTTTCATAAACGTTAAATTTTTGATTTTTTTTTTACGTCATTATTTTTTTTAAATGAATAGTTATATTTAATGCCTTTTGTTATCAACCTAATGATAAAATCTTCTTTTTAAAGCGACTTTGTTTCATTTTCCTTAAAAGAGAAAATCACATGAAAATAGCTCAAAAAAACCTATTTCAGATACCATAGAGCTATTATAGGTCATTACAGCTATAGAGCTCAATCGGCTGTGTACTGGTCCTGTTGTAGTGGCAACATATTGATACTTACGATGTTACTACTTTACTTCATTAGTCTCTTGATGGCAATTACTCTTACAATATTGACATGGCCGCAGATTATACAAGTTAAACTAAAGGCTGGCAGGGTCCATGGTTTTCCTATGTTGCATGCAGAACATTTTAAATTGCATAATTGGTACATACACCTTCATAACCTGTTGCTAATTTCACAAAATCCAATATCAATATATGTAGATCAAGCATGTAAGCCACTGATCTACATCTTAGTATGTAATATTACTGCAGCACTGCATATGACCTATCCCTCACTAGTTGTTGGTAACAAACATTACTACATATACTACTATTCAATTATAGCCTTTGGCTGAGGTCGAGACCTGGATTTATCGACCCGATAAAAGATATATTGTCCGAGGTCAATATATCTTTTCTCGGGTTGATAAATCCAGGTATTGACCGAAGCTAAAGGCTACAATTGTTTTATTATTTTACAACAAAGTAATGTAAGAAATCTGAAAATTACAATAAATAACTGCGTCCTCGGTCAATATATCTTTTCTTGGGTTGATAAATCAGGTATCGTTGTTTTATTATTTTACAAAACAGTAATGTAAGCAATCTGAAAAAAAAAATAAAAAAAAAATGGGACGGTGCATTGTTTGGAGACGCATCATAATTCCATTTTTAGAAACATCAAGTCCTTCAACAAATCACGCGCTCCAAGTCAATATCGGTTTTTATTGGTGGACACTTGATGCACTGCTGGCCAATCACTTGTCGGGAATAATATGAAAAAATAATAATAGTACTTATTACTACATAATGTATACATGTATACATACCTGTCTTTGGTCTTGTCTCTTCTGCCTGCAGGAATTGTAGGTGTGAACACTTTCTTTGGAATTCCTCCAAGTGTCAAGTCTCTTGGACCTCTAATTGACGGTAATCTGTAATCACAAAAATTCCAAAGTAAGTGTTTTTTTTTAGTGTCAACTCTTGTTCTTTTCTCGTAGTGGTAATATGAACTTGGTCCAGTGGAAAAGTATGTTCCCTAAATGGCTCACCTTGTCCCTCTCCCTGTTGGCACACCTGTGCGTCCTATCAGGCCCCTAGGGAGGTCTGGCTTCTTCTCTGCCATTATCCAACTGATGCTGTTATTGATGTTTCAGAGTTCATTACATCTCATCTATAAAAAAAAACAATTCATCTTTTATTAACAAATACACAAAATATATATATATAGCTATATCCACCAACAATTCAATACATAGTAAGTACATGACGTCACACATCTGGGTTACCCGCAGGTCATCCCCCATCCTGAAAGGCAAACAAAATGTTGACCCTGTTACGGTTCACGACCATCAACAATAACACCGGGAACTATTTTTAAATGCTGCAATGGCGATTACATGTTGGGTGAATAGTTGTACAAACTGAGGTTATGAACACTGTGCGGTAATGAACTATATATACATTTCTAAGCTTTCAGTTTTAATAAAAATAAAGCAAAGTTGCCTCAAACTTTGAAGTAATGTTGGCTATAAAAACATACAATTAGAGATAAGGTACCTTATATTTTCATTTTTCATCAATGTTTTTTGCCTTTTTTTCCCCCAACATTTTTTTAAAAACAGTTCTGCTGCAATCAAAATAGTGATATCTTTTCATGCGATTCTCAGTCTGTGTCGTTTTCTTTTCCAAAGATGATAACACGATAATAACGCGAAAATAGCTCAAAAGATAGGTCGATACATCTATAGGTATAAATGTCAATGCAAATCGGCAGAGTAGAGGAAACTCGGGCCATTTTTAGAAATAAAACATGTAAACACGAATTATAATCTATACAGTTGGATGCCTCGACTGGTGGCAAGCAGTTTCAATATAAATAGAGACATCGGCTAACTAGGCCCAAACAGTGTATGTATCCACCACGAGAGTTCCGCGTGAAATTGTGAACAGTAAATGGATCCCGGAGATGGGACGAACTGGACAGCTGGACGATAGGCTTCGATATGCAGTGACCAGTGTTCACAATATCCGAGAATCGAACCCCTACTTCAGTAACTCCGTCTCGCTATGAACAAATACACAAACCAACTTGTCGTATATGAAACAAATGACAAAATATAGGTAAATGGTCGCACCTCATTGTAAAATACGTTGTTATAGGTAAACTGCTGAATTTCATCGCAATGAAATAACACACGAACTTCACGTGTGCAGTATTCTTGCCGGTGTTTTCATCAGACGATCAATTTTGAAACGAACTTTTTGATTGGTTGACGAACACATCCCTACTCCAATCATTGGAAGCCTAACAGAAAACAAAGGGAAACAACTACCGGTACTAGTGCCGCATCGAACTAAACGGAACCGGAAGGATACCTAGTATAAATAAAAATATTTAATAACTAAGATACAAATTTAGATGAAAATTGATGGAACTGTTAGATCTATCATGATATCAAAACGTTTTTTAATAATTAGAGAACAAGTAAATCTTCATCAACGTCAGTTTCAATAGGATCTTTTCCTGTGTTTATTTTTGTTTTTGCCAAATTCAGTGCAAAGTGTCAAGTGCCTATTTAGAAGCCTTCTGATAGTTATTTTCGATCGCGGCAAAGTGTCAAAACTTGAAACGTTACTGTAAATCTGTTCATTTTTGCGAGCACTCATTTTTTTCACATGATATATATAACACGTTAATTCTGGTTAAATTGGGCTTCTCTGGTACTAGACTGATATATTGAACAGATTCATAGGGAAAGACTCTCTTTTGGGGGCTGATGAAGCAGCGAAGTGTTACTAATCAACCATCGTAAATTTGTTTTGCCAAATTACTGTAGATTCTAGCATTTTCTCTCTCTCCCAAAAGCACCTCCGCCGAGGGGATTCGATTCCCATGCGCTTTGATTATAAAGCAGGGGGCATATCCATGCGCTAGGCCCTACCAATCATGTGTTATTTTTTTATACTCTTTTTGCAATATTACTGGAAATAATTTCAAAATATCTCAATTCGCTAAAAATGCCCGCAACATATACTTTTCTCTATATTAATACAGAGGAAATAACATATACAGTTACACACAGATACACAGAATTTTTTCTGACTGTAAGACTTACAGAAAGTACTCTGTTGTCAGCTCAATACGATTGAACAAATTCTGACAAGAGCATGCACATTTGAATAACATTAATAATCAATAGTTGAGGTGAAAAAGTAAATTATACATAAATTCCAAATTAGAGTAATTAGTGTTGACACCATTAATTTGATAAATACTAATCAGAAAGTATATTCAGTTCACATATTTAACTACGGGTGGATAACAAAATTGGTTCTCTATAATTATAGGGTATCAGTTGGTTTCTCCAGTGATGGTTTAGGCAAGACTCGTAAGATTTGATATTGTACACTTAAAAATAAAGAATAACTTTCAAATGCTGTGTTTATTAGAAAAGAGCTAGGTACGTAAGACTTGAAGGCTTAATATTGGACACATTGGTGGGTTTTTTAGTGTTGTGTTTTTTTACATTTTTATTATTAGTTTGTAATATATCTTATGTTGGTTTGGTATATATAGTTTCCTGTTCTTCTTAGTGTAAGATAACGCATTATCATTATGATTATTTGCAAATATTGTGAATGTATGTAGCACAAAGACAATAAAAATACTGTATATTGCAAAAAATGAAGATATATATATAAGATATATGATATAGAGTACTTTGGAAGGCCGGGACGCAGTGCCGAATGCGGATTGCGAAATGTGTTATGCCCAATGCGTAATGCAAAATGACAAAAGCGAAATGCCAAATGCGTAATGCAAAATTCAGCTATCATTTAATTTAAATGGACGATTGAATAAGAAACATGGAAGTGCCGATGTTTTTGTTTTAGAAGAATGTCAAAGTAAATTACAACAGTGAATGAATTCGGAAAGGTGTGTGTTCGAAAGGAGAAATAATAGGCTTACCTGGTTTTAAGCACTCATTTTGCATTTTGTAATCTACATTTGGCAATGCGTACTGGTGTCTTCCTTAGAGTACCCACACTGACATGCCAATTGCCAGGTGCATATTGCCAATTGTCTTTTTGACATTTGCCAATCTACCTGTTTGTAGCATTATACTAATCGTTTGTCGTTGCTATGATAACTTACTGGCGTTTGCTTTTGGCCCATTTGCAAGAACTGACAATCACTCATAAATTTGTTACTAAATTGTATTGTATGAGCAATTAGCAAATGGCAACTAGTTAATGATAATATCCAACGGGCATGGTTATAAGCGAATGGCAAAAAGACAAGACAATTAACAAATGGCAATAAGGGATCAACCTAAACGGGAAAACTTTGAAAATAAGAAATGGCAGGTGGCAATCAGCCAGCTGCAATAAGCAATTAGTTATTAGTTAGCATATGTCCATTGTCAAGGGCTATGTGGCATACTTGCAAACTCTCCCTATTTAGGAGGGAGACTCCCGATTTTGGACCTTAAAATGTAGCATTTTCAAGCAGTGAATTTTCTATTCCTATATTCTAAGATCTAATGAATTCATCTGAAAGGGCAACTTAAAATATGTCATTTTAAACGGTTATTGTACCTCTAGGGGTATGTATATACACACATTTTATATTCCCATTGGGAATTACAAAAAGTTGGCAAGTATGACGTGGCAATTAGCAAATGGCGGCTGGCAAATAAAAATATGAACAATTGGCATGTCGGTGCTGATATTTTATAGTTCAATGATATATGAAATTGCTTGGAAAGTTCAGTTTTCACTATAGACAACAGAAATTAAATTGAGTAGCTATTGAACTTTGATGGCTCCTTGGTTTTACTTCCTGCATCTTTGCTACTGATGTCTGACCTTTGCAGTTTAAAATTGAACTTTTTATATATGGCATTGAAGATTTTTTTCACTTTTTGTTCTTTGTACCGATTTCAATCTCTTACAAATATTTAACATTGCATCGGCATACAATTGTTATATGGTTTTCAACAAGTTGTTAAGACATGGTAAGAGAGAATGTTTATAAATTCAGAAGTAACTATGTCATTTTAAGATTGTTATTGCGTTTGTCTGCAATATTGTTCAGATGCTCAATTAAATTATGTGTAATGATTTGGTAAAAGGTTTTCAATTTGATTTCATAATCAAATATGAAATACTGAAAATTTCAAGAAAATGTTTCATTTTTATAATTGTAACAAAGCAAAATAAAAAAATGATGCACAAACGTCCGCAAAATGATCAGAAAAAAATATCACTCTGAAAGAACAGTTTTACTTGTGTCAATTATTTTTGATATATAATCCAGAATAGAGTTGAAGCAAGGGCTTCATCAATCTTCCTGCATATCTACAAAGTTTGGAGCCCAATCATGAAACAGTGGCTAAGATATGCTTATGTAAACCTGAACTGCACTTAATTTAGAACTTGAGGTAAAGGTCAAAGGTCAAATTGTGGCCACAGTTTTAGGATGCAATACACTGTCTTCTCATGATGTTTCAGGAAACAGCAGCTGATATATGCTCTGGAAACCATCATTTAAGTACTTGAGGTCAAAGTCAAAGGTCAAATTGAGGTCACAGTCACCTCATTTTAGGATGCAACACACTGTCCTCCCATGATGTACTGATACATTCATGAAATAGCAGCTGAGATATGTTCTGGAAACCATTATTTAAGTACTTGAGGTCAATGTCAAGGTCAAAGGTCAAATTGAGGTCACAATGACCTCCTTTTAGGATACAACACATAGTCTTCCCATGATGTACCTATACACAAAGCTCATCAAACAGCAGCTGAGATATGCTGCAGAAACTACAGTCAACCAGGATGCACGCACCAATGGCTGGACACACGGACAAAGCTGATACTATAAACCCCCAACTTTGTCAAGCAGGGGTAGATATGAAAAAACCCATAACACAATCTGATAAATCACAAGCATTTTTTTATTGTTGCATCAACTTCTATTTGTTTTATATAATCAATAACATTCAATACTGTGCAAGTGCATGTAGATGTACCAGTAGATATACTATAACAAACATATACTGATTTAACAAATACTGTTTAATTGCATTCATATACACTGTATTTTCTTGTTACACCTATATCACTGGATTGTTGGCTATTTTTTCAAATTGAAATTTTTGATTTCCTTCTCTTGTCAATGAAATTAATACGTAATATTCAGCTTCCTAAAATTATGTTGACCAATAATTTTTTCTCTCTCTTTTTTTGTTGAAACATTAAATTCTTAATATATATCATCATCTATTTTTTTCTACAGAACATGATAGTGTTACATGTCATATTAACTCCTAATCATGCAAGAAATAAATACTATTAAGAGTTTAAGATCTCAACTGAATATTGTAAAGACAAGCAGGGGAGATAACTAAAAATTAATTTTCTTGTCTTCTTAAAAATCCGGAATAACAATTATTCCTGTATGCTTTTAATGTATGTTTCAGAATGCAATAAAACCCATACTGTAAGATGCCAACATGCAATATTTTTCCATACAAGTATCAGTATAAGTCAACGATAGATCGATGTCAACATGCATTATTTTCTTCATACAGTTATACAATATACAGTCAAAACTAGCCGACACATTCAATAACAAAGATGTGCACATTTACTTTTACTCTATCTTTTAACAAGACATCATCACTCTGAAACAAAGTTGACATCAAGCATTCGTCAAAAAAATAAATAAATGACCTTGACCCTAACCTAGTTTTCAAGTGATAGCCAAAATATAAGTATAATATTCACCATGACTAACAACCTTAATTAACATCTTGTACTATTGTCTGATGAATAAGTGACCTTAACCTGTACATAAATAAATTATGGCCTTGACACTAGCATCTAGTACTATGACAATGGAAAGTTCAATCGCTATGGCAACAAATGCAAATGAGCTTGATCTAATTTGATTGAATTCTAAATGATTTGCATATAAAAGAATACTCATGGTTACAAATGTGACCTTGGATTGAATGAAGCAATCTTCCAATGACCTTGATACAAGCATCAAGTCATCATTACCTATAACAACCGAATGACCTTGAACCAATCAGGTCAGGTCATTCTACATCATTTGCATACATTCTAAACTAAGAAATGAACAAATGCTTAAATAGGCAATAAAAACAATCTTTAATCTAAATTATACTGTAATGGCTATTTATCGCACAATAAGCCAATGTCCAGCAATAAGCCAATGCCTGGTAATAAGCCCATCCCTCCTATTCATTGGCCTCAAATAATAAATTTCCTAATATGATCTTATCTCCCTGGGCTTATTGCACGATTATTATAGAGACGTTTCCGAAATTTCGGACATACCAAGTTTAGATCAATCGTGAGGAGGAAATACAGTAAAATTTGATAAAGTTTTGAAAATACATTGTTTTATCACAGTCTTTGTTAACTCACTTGGTTCTACGACTAAAAAGTCAGTATATGTTAGAAAATTATGAAAAAAAACATACAAATAAATTATAAAAAATTACAGATAATATGCATGATTTACAAAGATTAATGACTTATAATGTATAATATGGGCAAGACAGCCACAATGGCTATATACAATCTAGCACTTAAAACTAGTAACAGTTCTCGACTCTCAAACAATGTGAAATAATGATATTATCACAACTTAAATAGTATTTATAATACAATGTATACTTAAACTTGTATGAATAATACTTGAACATATATGAAAAAACATTTTGTCTATAGATAGACCTGTATTTTCAGCGTTTTTTTTTTTTAATACGAAACAACATTTCTGATTTTCTTCCTAGCAACTTTTTATGAAAATTATTTATTTTTGAATATGACACATATATATTTTGTCATTAAATGATTAAGAAATAACAAAAATAATAATGCTACATCGAGTTAAACTAGTGGAACAGTATCTACAGATACAAGAAAAATAAAATTCTATCACTTAAGTGATACTTTGAATGAAAATAAATAAACTTAGGATAAATAATATATACCGTTTTAATATGCATGATCTATTTTTCTTTAACTCATGGCACATCTCTGTAATGATATCCCTTTTTCACTTTATTATTTCATGTAAGAAATAGTTTGGTAATCATTGTTTAATAGCATGCGAAATGTGAGTACACATAAAATTAAGTTCAAATCATTTACCCTAAATCAAATAAAAAATCAATACAGTATAGCAGTCACTTAAAATACTTACATGTGTATATTGAACTAGAAACTGATTATTATGACTCGTGATACAAATGTATAAAATTTGAAAACAAAATAAATAACATATAATCAACAGATGCAATGTGAAAAATGAATATCTCTACATTCAGAATGAAACTGTAAATATGATAATGATAATGATTTTTTCATTTTGCATAATTTGAATATTTATATAAACTAAAAGAATTCAATATCTGATACATTTCTAACTTGAATTGAATTGTTGGTACTACGATAGGTGAAATATTATAAAGTTGATAAAAATGTATTACTGTCTGTATTTATCATAAATATGCTATTACAAATGAAGATTTCAAAATTCAATACATTTTCAAAATACTAAGATTTAAGTTAATTAAAATGTATTAGATCTTCCATAAATATCCCAAAAATTCAACACCAGGTAATTTATGATGTTATAATATTATCAAAATTCAATTTCATTACAATGTACATTTTTTTATTAAGGATAAAATTCACAAAAGTGAAGTTAACTAAATAACTTTTATGGACGGATTTAAAATTAAAAAACAAAACAAAAACGAAGCTAAACAAAGTTTGTTTAAATATGGACGGATTAATTAACAAATCTTTTCCATAAGGGAATTAATTCAAAAACGATAATTCTTCAATTAAGGTAAATTGAACATCTGCAACAGTTACAATCACCACTTCACGGCTGTATTTTCATAGATGATTAACTAAGTAACAAGAAAGAGTATTTCTGGATTAGAGTAACTTCCCTTGTCAAGATATTTGTCACCTATTTTGTGTTATGCATTAATAATTTCTTAGTTGCAACCCAAGCTAAACAGTAAATGACTTGAACAAAATAATGAAACTTAATGGCACCCTTTACCTTACAAGATACAGTAAGACCTCGATATAATGCCCTTCGTTTCATTTGCCACCTTGCTTACCGCCAACATATTTCGATGCCGCCTTTTTTTAAATTTTCCCATGAAATCCTTTATACATTTCCCTAATTTATCACCAAACCCCTTTATAATGCCGTAATTTCCCTGGACGACTGATGGCAGTATAACAAGGTTTTACTGTATATTGATGAAACCAGCCACCACATGTGAATGGACAATGATTACATCAGCTGATAGGTTCACCGACAAAACGCTGAGCACCAATGTTGAAAACACCAGAACAAGATTTATTTCATGAAATAGCAAACTATAATGATGTGATCTTAATTAATGATAATCACAAAATCTCACAGCCTTTGGGAAATCATGAATAAATTACTAACGATGATATACAGTGAAACCTGTCTTATCTGTCCCTTGGGAAGTCTAACACTGTGTTATATTCGATGAACAACTGTAATCCCTTTTAATTTTCAAACCGTTGTACCGCTCACTTGTTTGTTAAATGTGAGGAAAGCGACTAGTAGCCCTTGGGCTGTTCGTAATCCTTGTTAAACAAATAAAGAATTTAATTAAATTAATTTTCAAACTATCACATGAGGCCTGTGTATTATGACAACCTGTCTTATTCAACCAAAACATTGTTTGCCTCTGGATGGGCAATCAGACAGGTTTCATTGTATGTATAATTTATCCAATATAAATTCCTACATTCCTGTATTCTATTTATCATAGAAGTGTGTTTCTAAAGAAAATATATCTTTCTAGCAGTTTTACTTGATAGATATGTTATCACAAGACTTTATCACCTAATTAAATCACAGTTTTGATAAGCATGTAAATATTTTTTTTACAACATTTAAATTTAATAATCATGACCAAATGTGACAAAAATGAGGATATGTTCTATCAATAATACCTACAAGGTAATTTTTTGTCATGTTTCACTTGTATGTCTTAAAAACAAACAAACATAGTTTCAATACCAATATTGAGAAAAACGAATGCTAAACACTTATTCTCTAAAATCTTATTAATGTTAAACTGGTGTCTGAAAGAAATTTAATTGGAGATACAAATATTTAAAAAAAAAATTGAGACAGCTTTCAAATATCACAGTCTTCACAAAAATTGATTGAAAGTCCTTCTATCTAATACTGGAATTCCATTGTATAAGTAAAGGACTCCTTTGAAGCGTCTCCTGGTCAAATTAGGATTTCCTTGTGTAATGGAGATTCCCTGATAAAACAAAGATTTCCTTGACGAAATAGGGATATCTCTTCTGGGTTAGGAATTCCTGTGATGAGATGGGAAGAAGGATATCCCTGATGAAATATATATTTCATCGGTATAATCAGAAATCATGAAAAGTGGATTCCCTGATGAAATGAAGAATGAAAATTCCCTGATGAAACGTAGAACGGGAATTCCATCATGAAATAGAGAATGGGAATTTCTTGATTAAATGGAAAATGGAATTTCCTGATGAAAAGGAGAATTGGGATTCCCTGATGAAATGAAAAATGGGAATTCCCTGGTGAAAATGAAGAATGTGGATTCCCCTACGCCCTAGTCTTGGTCCGAATCGGATCCACTAAATACACACATGTCGGTCACTTCACTCGTGAACTGCAGCTCATCCGAAAACTTGGGGACCTACAAACAGCACAAAACAATGAAGTCATTAAAAAATCTATCTTTGATATCTTTAAAAAGTTAAATTTTTTATTGACAAAAATTCAATTTTCAAAACATAATTTTTCACCATAAAATTAAACAATTTCCCTTGAATCCAGAATTGTCTAAACTTACACATTTCCTATTTTAATATTTGGAACACATACTGCCAAAACAACCCATTCCCCTTACAATACATTTTCTTAAATCTCAGAGAAAAGTTCAAAACTGCATTCTAACTCCCTAAATCATCGTCATCATCATCAACCCCCATCCACAATATCTTTCAAATTATACTGGAGATATTTTTGACACTACTGTCCAAGGGGGTCGACATATTCTGTACGCTAGTTCCTACAAAAAAAGGGGGAGATTTTTTTTTTAATTGCTTTTGTTTTAATTATTAATAAATTGGTTATAATAATTAATCTAAACCAGTAAGTTCATGATTTTTTTCTCTCTAAAATATGCCTTAATAAATGTTATTGACCAAAACCCTTTAAGTTAGATGTTGTTAAACATTCCAAATACCTCAGAAGTGTATATAGGTAAGTATTTTGTTGCATTGTAAAATTTAAAAGTTGACGTTTGGTTTAAGCTATTTGTGACATCATACGAAAAAAACATGACATTTGAAGACAGCTTTTATGAGCATATAGTTAATTTTGATTTTGTTTCTATATTGACAAAATTTTATTTAATTTCTCAAGTGTTTCTGTATTGACATTTTTTTTTAAAAATTTCTCAAGTTGTACTGAACAAAACCTGTAATAAGGGAAATAACTCTTCTGCTCTTGAAATAAGTTTAAAGACAGTTATCTCCCTTGCTATGATAAAATCCCAAATCGGTAAAATGACTAATAATGTTTTTCTTACATTCAAACACTTTGGACAGAATGGAATTAAACTTTTTACAGTAGTAATACAATTGGCTTGATATATTAATATAAATGGATGCAAAAAAGTGGAATCATATTAAGAAGGAGACAAATTGGGCAGATGCATATATGAAAGGCTTAGGAAACTGCAGACTGCAGATATAATGGCTATTGAAGGGAGGCATCTTATACTATAAGAAAGTACTATCTAATTTGAATATATATATTGAGATGTCTGATTATGAATATATACATATATATAAATAAGGAAGACTGTATCTAAAATGCTTAACTAACCGTAATAAATATATATAATAATGCAGTGTATTTCTATAAAAAGTTAAACTTGGGCTAGAATGATTATATATAACCACACAATTCTGGTTCTGTTGTATTCAAAATGTATATCTGGTTCTCCACGACAAAGAAAATGTACCATTATCTATTATTTGACTTATTATTGATCTCTTTGTTGTTTAGCAGATTTTTGTTTTGTTTTATCAAAATAATTTTCAAAATTAATGATTACCGGGGGTTTATAACATCAAATTCTTATACAATGTACATTCTATTTAAAGTTTTTAACTTCCAAACATTTTTCAAAACTAAGATATACCATTATCTATTATTAATTGTTTATTTATCAATTCAAAAACAAAGTAAATAAAATGATATTTAATCAATCGTAAGAGACAATAGAAAAGATGAAATAACAGAAGTAGAACTCACCTGTTTATGAAACTTAAAAAACTGATCTACTATTTCAAAAGTAGAACAACTGAAAATGACTTTTGAACAACCAGATCACCTAACAAAATGTTTTAAATAGTTTATTTAGATTTCATTTTTTTCGCCATTTAGACAAGTAATGTTTACATATCCCCCCACTCTTGCATACAAATACAGTAAAAAAAATTGTGCATTTTTATTGAGTGATTATATGAGAATATTGATGTTTCAAAGTGTGTGCGTGTGTGTATGGAAATATTTGTGTAACATGTCAAGCAAGATTAATCGAGTGCAGTGACAACAAATGAAATTGAGGTGTGTTATCGGTGTTATATTTTCCAAATATCAAAGAACAACAAACATGACAAACACAAGTTATCATGCAGTTACAACATGCATCTTTTGAATGACGGAATTATTTTTTTTCATACAGAGCACTTTCTTGGACGCAAGAACAGACTATCTGTCAGTTTATGAAGATTTTATAAAATATGATGTCAAGAAATAAATCACACTACCAATTTTTTTTAAAACCTAGTCATCATTAGAAAAGTTTAACAAATCCAATCAAGAAATCGCTATATTTATAGAAATGGATAAAAAAAATGGAATGAACATTAAGGTGCTTTATCATTACCATGCATCAAAATGCAGTAAAACAAAATTCATAAATTTAAATGAAATATGAAATTATAAATTACTTTGTTACAATATTGTAGACTTGATGATTTACTGAAAAAAGTCAGTTCTCCCGGGCATTACTGGTATATAATTAAAACTTAACTGCATAAAATCAGTGAATTATGCTTTTAAATGTGAAAACAAGCCCTGAAGGGAAAAACCCCACAAAACAAGTGAATTTAGCAAATGTAAAAAAAAAATGAAGAAAAAATCAACACAAAATGTGCAAAATTTAACGTTTTGTTTTAGACATTCTCAAAAAAAAAAAAAAAAAGAGGGAAAAAATTCTTTTCAAATTCTGGTTTTTACCAACCTACCAATGGAGCTGATAGGTGGCGCTAGCTGTAGACACCAAAACCATGACGACCCGTATATTTTGCTATTAATAGGTCAGCGTAAATCCTGTCTTCTTCTGAGAGTTGAGGAGATTTCTGTCTGCTCCAACAGAATAGGGATTAAATAGTCACATGCTTCATTTACTATTTCTAAAAATAGATTAAATATTTACATATATATGAATAAAACTAAAAAAATGAATATGATATATATCTTTGCTATAAATTGACCAATCACCTTCATGAATGTATAATTTTCTGAAACGGATTCTCAATTATTTTTTGCAGGCATTATCTGGAAAACCCCCCATCTTTTTTACTCCTATTGTGTCTCTCATCAAACAATATATGCCATAAGGGAGCTTACTGTAAATTCCCTTGAAAATGTACTGGCCTGAAACGGATTTGAATAATGACAAATATTAGAAGTCAGTCTCCTCCACACATGCAACCAGTAGTTGGTTTTGACAAAGCAGATAGACCCTCATCTCCCCTCTACCCCAAATTGCCCAATTTAAGGAAGTATGCTACCTAACTCTGACATCATCTTCTTTTCAGAGATCACCCGTCCTTAAGATTCTCAGTCACCAAAGGAGCAGACTTTAAAATCAGGTCCTTTTCAATTCTCAAATACAGCTTGCATATTGTACTTAGTCAATATGATTTGATTTTACCTTTGAAAACGAAGCATATATATTCTTTTACTGAAAATCATTAAATATTTTGAGTCAGTTTTGTTTTCCCCATTTTGTTTTCCCCATTTTCTGCAAAATAAAAATTATTCAAACTTTCCTTTCAAGCGTCTTTTTAGCGAGGATCGATTTAAATCATAAAAAGAAAAATAACAATTACAATACTCTGTATTATTTTAATCCATTATTGATTTTTCACTTTGCAATCTGCTCCCACAAAAATTCAACAACTTACAGAATAACTATTTCAGTTATCAAAAACAAACAAATAAGAATGCTTATTGCTTGGGAATTTAAACCAAAAAAAAATCATGAGTAAACTCCAACTGCAAGATCGAATCAAAATTAATTTGGGTACTCAATCATGCAATTGGAAGGAACTGTATAGGAAATTTCATTAAATGAATTAACACCATTTTGGTTTTTTTGGGAGAGAGAAAAGGAAGGGCAAAACCACACACAAAGGGACAAATTTAAGGTATCAAATATTCTAAAGGGTCAGAAGGTCAAAGTGGTTAAGGAATATTTGACACACAAGAACAATTATAAATAACTTACCCCTAAAAAAATATAGCTGTTTTAATTATAAAAGTCAAATTAAATCATGCAATATAAAAATCTCAATATATTTAAGTTCTGCCGACTATAAACAACAGATTATTCAAAAATATTGTTCTTGATATTTTTTTATGCATAATGAAGTATTCAAATTTCATTACTATAAGGCATGGAGGTGAATGGTCAGATAAAACTAAAGATACGTCTGTTCTATTTCACTAAAAGCAATGAAGATTCATAATTAAATTCAGATTCCTGTTTTTGAAATTATCTTTTGATTCTTAAACAGAATTCTTATTTTTTATTTAAAAAAAAAAAACAGTTTTAAAATAAAAATTTTAAACTTTTCTATCTTAAAGATTCATAAATTTCTCATTTGAAGATCGCAACACTTACTTTACCTTTTCCATTTTGTTTGCAACAACAATCTTTGATTACTGTTAAAAACACCATTACTCTACATACTGTAAATGCACTTTTTAGAGTTGACCTAATTTTCCTGGCTATCATATTTTAGTGCTTTGATGGAGACCATTGTACACAAAGTTTCCACATGTGTATGAATTATATAAGTCTTTTTCTTTTTAGTTTCATTTAATTTTTGGAATGCACTACTAAGAATTAAGCACTAAAATATAACCTCACCAATAAAAATACATTTACAGTAATTTATGAGTTGAGATAGAAAATCCATTAATTTTTAAATTTACGATTTAAACAATGCATCAATTTATTTCCTTTCCTTTCATCAAACGCACTGTTTCTCCACTTTGGAAATAGTTATATTTAATTTTAAAAAAAGTGAAATTTTGCAATTTTCAAAACACCTTACTCGGAACTAAAATCACCATTTAAAATATTTTCTATCTATTACAGTGAATTTCAATTGCATATGTCAATATACGAAATCATATCTCAACTCTCATATGTTGTTTGTAATATAAATCACAAATCTAATGTAATAATGGAAAAGCTATTATATAAAATCAAGGCTGTAATAGTTAAGATCAAAAGGAAGGCATTTTGGGGAGAGATGAAAAATAATTACCCGGTATGTAAACATTTTTTTGATAATTCCTTTAATTATTGACATTTTTTTAATTTATAATTTCATACACAGTAAGAGTTTCATTATACCAAATATAAATTTGAAATTTTGTCGGTAATAATGGATCAAGAAAAGAAATTAATAAATTCAAATGTACCAAATATTTCTGAAATAACAAAACATTTTTATTTCAAAAAATAATTCCATATTAGTTCCATAAATTTTTTGTCTGGAGAAAGTTTTAAGTATTACTGGAGTCCAGATTAACAAAGTCCTTCCTTTATTTTTCCTTTCCATTACAGCCTAAAGCTTGTATATTATCAACCATGTAAAATATACATTGTATATATCATGCCGTTAGTACCAAAGTGGTACAAATGTCTAAACCGAACCCTGGATAATTCAGAAACCTGGATAAAGAGGATAACCATCTGGAATCAGGGGCGTGCATTTTTATATTTTGAGTACTAGCCCACAGGCAGATTTTGCGAAATTTTACTAGAATGACATATAACTTGAAATTTTCATAAGCTATGACATTTAAATCTACTAGCCCCAGGTATTGGGCTGGAAGAATTGTTCCACCCTGGGGAAAGTCCCATTTTACAAATTTTGTAAAAATAATACATTTTACTTAATTATCCAAAAACCTGCGTATTCTGGCCAAAAGAGAAAGATATCTAGTGTTCGGTTTACACAAATTACGTTGTAATGTATTAATATATAATAGAAAATGATTGAATTCTTGGATAACATAAACCAAAAATAAATGTTACAGTTACTACATCTGAAAGCAAACTCTTAAGCAAAAGTGTTAATACAATCTGTCATAGTTCTGAATGATATTTGTAATTCATGCAGGGCATTATAATAAACATTTTTATGGATTTTGCATGAGAAACAAGGGATAATGAAACAACAAATTCTATATTATTTTCAGAAACCAAAATGCAAATAATTTATTTCATCAAATCCTAGACAAGGGATATCTTCAAGGAAACCCTAGCTATAATTTTTAAATCATACTACTCCCAGGAGATGTTTCTGATGTTCAATAAAGATATTTTAGGATTGTATAAGACTTACAGTGGATTGTGGTGGTACTGTGTTGATGGCGACATGAAACGTCTCGGTGAAGAAAGTCTGTCATCAAAGTAGCGATCTGAGGGAATTTGTTTTGGTGCTCCACCACCAAAGACAGGCTTACCAATGCTGGAGTTCTTGGGTGACCTTGACCTTGGTGATCTTGGTGATACTGACCTTGGTGACCGGACAGGAGAAATGGAGCGCGAATAGAAGGAACGGTTACGCTGTGGGGAGCTTTCCTTTATGCTCAGATTCTGTTCACCTTTTGTGCTCTTCAGAATACTTTTTAAACCTGGACTATACGGTCTCTGTCGCTGTTTTTCCTGACCCAAATCAGATGATAATATTGTGTTTCTAGTATCCATTGGAGATTTGGGAGACTCGATATCAAAATCGTCAAAATAACGTTTTCCATTTTCCTGTTGTACTGCACTGTTCAACGCTTCAATGAAAATCTTGTTACTATTGTTCACATCAACATCTAACTTGGAACTCCTCGCAGGCGGAGTTGTGTCCCTTGGGGAAACGTCCCGGAATCGATTATCTACTGGCGATTCTATGAGACTTTCTATGAGCTCTCGCCCATCATGTTTGGCTAGGTACATTTTGTTGCTAGTGTCGCCCCCTGTATTATGTTTCGGACTGTTGTAATTGAGTCTTCTCCTCACTGGCTGACAATGATCCCTGATTTCTGAAATATCCATCGCTCCGGGACTTTTGCTCCGACCTGGGCTACGCGATCTATGATGATGAAAATCTTTCTTTGGAGCTCGTGTAAGATAAGTGTCATCCAAATCTTTGTCGAAATCGAGCCTTCCGATTGGCTGTTGTTGTTCGGCCATTAATTTCTGAACTTCCATGTCATCATAGTCAGATGGTGACCGTCTGCCATCAGATTCCGCTGACGATGAAAAATTATTCCTATACGAACGAGATCGTCGATGAGGATATATTTCACGAAAGTTTGATGGTACAGATGGGGAAATATCCTCGTAATCATACTCATCGTCAATTTCATCGTCGCCTGGATGGATTGATGAAATACCAGACATGTTTAAACTAGAGGATTTATTGGGATTGCTGGTGACACGCACCGGAGCAAGACCGTGCAACTTCCTGACACGTTCTACCGAATCTGGATATAATCTTGAAGGAGGAGATGTGGAACGTTTAGGGTATGACTGTTTGCTGACATTTGCTGGGGACACAGAACGACGTACAGGATTAGGTGAAACGGGTCTTGGAACCTCTTCTTCTTGTAGATCTGACGCAGAAGGTTGGGAAATATCAGAATTAGATCTGCTTCTCGTGATGTAGCCATTCAAGTGTTGTTGTCGCTCCTCTATTTCGTAAAGACCCTTCTCCATGTACTTTCCGATAATTCCAGAGACCTGAGATAGTTGACCTTCTGTCTGCAGTCGTTTGATTTCATCGTAAAGTTGACGTCGCTCCTTGATTGCCTCGTCCAGGATTCCACGGAGGTCGTTGACTGTTGTCTGTCCCTTCCGAATACGTTTCTTATTTTGATCAACAGTCTGTGGAGTAAAAGAAGAGAAGGGCTTTAGTACAATGGTAAGTGAAATTTAGACATTAGGCCAAACATATATTTCTGTTTTCCATATTACTATTTCAAAGTTACGAGTCATCTAGTTGCTTGTTACTGCTTTTGAATCGGCTATAGGGAAATTCCCTTTAGCTAATTTGGTAGAGCACTTGATAAGAAATCTGTACGTGTTCCTGGGTTTGACTCCAAACATGGGCACCTGGAAAACCTTACCTCAGTTACAACTACAAACACGGTAACAACAACACAACAGAGGAAAATATTTACACATCCCATTCACAGCAACATGTATATCCCCAAATCTGTATTGTGTAGCTCTAGTTTCCACATTTTTATTTCCTGATTTAAAACCATATCACTTACCTGGTACCTTAAAAGTGGACCAAAGTCAAATGTATTAAAATGGCCTAAATTTAGCTACAAGCTTAATATCATAACCTAAGACTCTTGGTTATTCAGAAGAACCTGTTGTGACATTTTGAAAGTGGGTCAAGGTCTTTCGTTTGAACAAACGTGGTGGCCCTTTATACTATAGCTTGCACGCTTTTGGTCTAATATCATCACCCTCTGCCTTTTGGTTATTGAGAAGAGGTTGTTTAAACACATATGACAACTTAAAACATTGAAAGTTAAACAATGTTATTAATTTTAATAAAGTTGATAGAGCATCATTCCAGCATGCTACTGGCAAAGTATCATCATTTGAGACCTGTTGGTAAAAAGTGCAGAAACTTAGCGCAATATCTGACACCATTTTCTTATGATACATCAATTTCTGCATGCCATTTTGAATATGAGTCGTACTCACTGCGATTTTTCCATTTTCTGATATTATCCAGTGAGATTTGCTTACAAAATCGTTACCAATGGTGTAATTAAGTAAAGAGATTAGTGCATGTACAAAGGTGTACATAAAACAATCCTTAATTATTCTATCATTGCTCCACTATAATGCTTGTGAATTGAAAATATGTGATTTTGAATGCAGTGAATTGAAAGAACCATTCTGATTGGTTAATACTAAAAAGTGAAAATATGATTTAGTTTAGTATTGTTTAAGTTATATAAACGTCACGGTCCTATCAACAGCTAGGGTCATTTAAGGACGAATTCCCCTGTGTGCAAGATGCATGCTTGTAGTGTATGCGTGTGTGTTTTGGGAGGCTGCGATATGTTCGTGTTTGTCTCCTTGTGATAACACGGAACTGATGCCAACTTTATAGTGCTACCTCACTGAAATATACTGCCAATGACACCCAGCAGGATACCCCACCCGGTCACATTATACTGACAACGGGCGAAACCAGTCGTCCCACTCCTAAATTTCTGAGTGTTAAGTAGGAGTAGAAACTACCATTTTTACAGACTTTGGTATGTCTCGGCAAGGGGACAGAACCCAAAGCCTTCCTCACAGGGTCGAATGCTCAATTAAAGGCCAAAAGTGAGGCATTGTCAACTTAAATGTCAAGGGAGACATTAAGAAGTTGTTTAGAAAGAAGAGAAAAGATAAGATCCCAAATTTAGTCGCCTCTTACGATCATGGGGGCAGCAGGTACAATTCTTACGCCCTACCTGCTACTTGTATAGCTAACATACCTGTATAGGTATCCTACTACAGTTAATTTACCTGTAAAAGTAACGTACCTGTCCTAGTCTAGTGTTTTCCTTCTGTGTACCAGCCAACACCCCTAGAAGTTGATCCCTCTCTTCCGTCAGGGATTGCAGCGTAGGAATATCTTTTTTACTGGCCCCCTTAAGGAGCCCTCTTGTTTGCTCTAGCTCCGCCTCCAAATCATCATTGGCTGATTTTGCAGCATGAAGAGTCCCATCAACGTCACGTATACGATTTTCTAAGGTATCATTTCGCGTGCGTTCTTTCTCAAGTTGTGTGCGTAATTCCATATTTTCTGCCTGAGACTTTCCTAAGTGAGAACGACAGTCATTTAAAACATCACTTGTTCTCGACATTTTTGTCTGTATTTCAGCATTAGCATTTTTTAATTTGGCTTGAAGAATGTCAATCTCTGAAACAGCCGACGCCAGACCTTGTTTCAACTGAACAGCATCCCGATCGGTAACGTGATCCATGGAAGCCAACTTTTTCCATTTCCTTGTCCTATCTGGATCAAAACCTGCGTCCAGGTCTGAAAGGTCAACTCCCCAGATTTCTTCCGAGACATTTCTTATGGGACTTGAGTATCCAAGACTGATAGGCTTTCCACGTGGGGAAAATGTCATTTGTCCGTCCAGATCCTCTTGAATCTTGTCGCCAACACTATGGGACCGTGGGCTATCCAGGGTTTGCTCTGGAGACCGACTCCTTCGACTAGGCCTATTGTCTGAATGAGATCGAGGTGGAGAGAAGCTTCCTTTCTTGAGAAACATTCGTCCACGATCGTAATCTGGCGACTTGCGCCCCCTGTGGGATTCAGGTGACTGTCGCCTCCTGGGAGAAGATGTGGCTTTACTAAGAGTTTCTTTCACTTTCTCTGACAATTGTGTTGTAACACTTTCAAGATTCTCCAAGTCAGTATCCTCCGACATATTTGCACGTTCGAGGACATCCATTTTTAACCGCAAAAGTTCAAGTTCCCTGTTCAAAACCCGAACTAGTCGCTTGTTTGGATCCAAGGTGTTTGTGCTCCTTCCAGGAGAATTATCCCTCCTGCCGGACGCTTCCTCTCCATCAGAGAGTGGATAAGCCGGAGATCTTTCTCCGGAAGACTGCTCACGACTTGATCTATCTGGACTAGATCTTCTTCCACAAGATGGAGAACGATCGGGTCGGAGTTTTTCAAAAGTGCCACCAGAAATGGTCTTGTCTTTTCGACTAGCTCGCTCTGGACTAGAAAGTTTATTTCTAAGTATAGATTTGGGGGTTGTTTCCTCTTCCTGAGATCTGTCTGTCATGTCTTCATTGTCTGAAGTTCCAGGCGTAAGCGATCTCCTTTCACGAGGCGATTTACTCCGACTTCGATCCCTTGGAGAATTTTTCTCTCTTTCTCTTATGGCCTTAACAGGCTCGGTTAAATCAACGCGAGGGAATCGCCTCTGTTCTGCCTCACTACCAGTTGTAGATAAATCAAGAGCTTCCCCTTTGAACTCAAGTGGATCGTTTACGACCTCTAGAATTCCTCGCTTACTTGGCCTGAATTCAGGTGATCCAGCTCTTTTTGGGGATTGCCTTCCTGGGGATTCCCTTCTGTTTTTCAAAAGTGCCACCAGAAATGGTCTGGGAGACTCCCTCCTCGGGGACTCTCTTCTGGGTGATTCCCTTCTTGGAGACTCTCTTCTTGGGGATTCCCTCCTTGGGGATTCCCTCCTTGGCGATTCCCTCCTTGGGGATTCCCTCCTTGGGGATTCAAAACCTGACACCTTTGCTGGTGATTCCTTAATATATTCTAGTGATTCTCCTCCATTTGCAGTTATAATTGGACTATACTCGTCAACACCATCCAAGTCCAACAAGGTGTGCAGCTTTGGTAGAGTCTGTTCCGAGGAAACATATTTGTCTTGATCGTGGTAGTTTGCTTCCTGGCGTGCCTGTTGAAGGGCCTGCAGCAGTAACATGGCCTGGGGGCCCTGACCAGGCATCACAAAGATCGGAACACCACCCATTCCGGAAAAAAACTGGGGATTTGTGCCAGTCATTTGAGGTTGTCCTCCAAAAGAACTTCCTCCTAAAGACGAAATTCCTTCTCCTATCCTTCTCTCCTCGCCACCAGATACTCTATTTCCAGGATTTCCGCCCATGTCGCGGCTCATGCTCATTTCAAGTCTTGCTTTTCTTCGTCTCTCGTCCTCCTCTTGTCTTTGTCTTTCTGCTTCCTCTCTTTCCTTCTTTCTTTGTTCTGCATCAAGTTTTCCCTTGGTTTCTGCCATGATGATTCGATGACTGCGTGGACGTTGCAAACCCGGACTTCCTGGACTGAATTTTCTTTGTTTTCTATCGAAACTGTCTGTCAAGCGCTCACTTCCACGCTCTCGTCGATCAGAGTCACTCTGACCGGATATACCACTATAACCTGAGGTAGTTGATCTGTCGTGACTTGGTGACCTCCGATCGATGTAACGATCTTTTCGATCTGAGTCGCTGGGACTGTATCCTGAAGTTGCAGAAATCGAACCAGAATACGCACTCAATTGGTCATCATCTGTGTGGCCATTTGGAATGCGATGCAAGTCAGAAGTCTGAACTAATCCCTGAAAAACCAAAACAAAGAAAAACTTAAAATTGATGAAATAAACTTTGAAGAATACACAGAGTTAAGAATTTGACATCCAATTGAGCAAGATTGTGAACACATCTCTTTCGACTGGAACTCAATATTTTGAATACCTTCTTTGTAATATAACTTGATTATGACACCAACCATAACTCAAATACTGTATATTATTTAAAAACATGTATTATTTCGGAGCGATGGTAGCTCCATAATGTTATCTATCCAACTGATCTTTTAACAAAAGAAATTCCAAATAAAACATATAGTAACACTCCATATATAGGATAACACATATTTTGACCAAGACCTGGCACAAGATAAACAATTCTGAAGAATTATTTAAAAATACGTTTTTTATAAAATCTGATCAAAATTGCCTTGCATCAAGCCCAACTTGATGTTGTTATAGATCAGTGCTGTTGTCATTTTCTTTACTCCCGATAAAAATCTCTCTACGATGAAAAATTATAAAACATTTGCAAGCTAATTCAAATTCTTATCCCCTACCTACATTCAGATTTGAAAGGCAGAAATACTTCATTATCTGAAACTTTTCCCCTACAACATAATTTCTATGTGGCTAATTGTGGCTAGCTAATCTTCCCTCATTCTTGATACTACAGGGGTTATGCTCACTTATGTTCTTTGCACCCCTGGAAAATGTCATAGCAATTTGAACGCACGCAGCTTGCTATTTCATTGGTCTCCGGTAAAGCACCCTGACCAACTGCTAGGTTGATACTTGTCATTTGAAGATTAAAGAGGAGCAACACACGACTTATGCAACTTTGAGATTCTTTTCATGTGCATCAAAGGATCAAACTAGTCTTGCTGTCTCATCCACAAGGTGGCACAGACTGAGCCTTCCATTTTGCCAAGACACATTCCTGGGGTGTAGCGAGCGTAGTTAAAGGTAAAGCGAGCGAGGTGAACGTAACCCCTGGAGTATTGAAGATGATCCAACCTCATCCCTTCCTCCACCCAGTAATATATGTAATAACCTGGTAAAGAACTACCCATCAACTTACCTGCTCTGAGATATCTGGGCGGTGATCCCCATTTTGAACATTTTCATTACCTCCTACCTGTAACACAAGGAAAACAAATAAAGCTGATTCAACAGAAAGATCTTTTGGATTTTTTTTATCAAATCAGATTAAATTAGAGTAAAACTTGTCAAATCTAAACCACTAAACAGAGTAAAAACCTGATTAAACAGAACACAACTATAGTGACACCTGTCTAAACAGAACACCACAGTGAAACCTGTCTATATCAAGCACCACAGTAAACAACTCTTTAACTTTGTTTGTTAGGTTACTTACTGTATATTGAGACTTTCCCCCAGTCAAATATTCCCTATTTACCAGTAAAATCTGTATTCAATCTTTGTTAATTTAACCCTTCACATGTTATAGTAGAATTATTTGCTGTATACCGAGGTAATGATAAAGGACTATAGAAATTCAATCAGCTAATCAAACGCCTGAGAGAGGTAGTACTTTGAAATCATACAAACAAAAACATACATATTTTTTAGATACAAAAACATGTACATACCTTTCTCTGAAGCAGAGAGATATATATCATCAATGTATGCTCATCAATGGTTCCATCGACAACCTCCGAAGGACTGAAACACAAACAAAACAATATAAACCTCGCGGACATCCATCAGTCTTGTTGTATGACATCAGTTCCCACATATTTGAGAAGCGTGTACGACAAAACGTTTTGGGTCACACAATATGCATGAATTAGCTATAGCAGACTGTTGTTTTGAATTACAGGAATTTCTTTTGAATCGTTAAACGTCCCCCGATATTTGATCACATAATGGCCCTGAACAGTTTGACAGGTGAGGCTTACTCATGTACAACCAGGTTTCTGTCTATTGTTTTTGCACACATTGTGGTTATCAAACCCATTATGCACTACTAGTAATTTAATTAAAACCCCTATGTGTACTTACATGTAGTAAAATTGGTGTGGTACTTATATGGCAGATTATATGGGTCAGGTTTAACTGTATATTTTAAGCCAGATTTTTTTTTTTTTTTTAACGAAGCTTTGGTTTTAATTCTTCAAATTTCTATAGGATGTACAAATGTTAATTTCTATTTTTTTTATTCATGATTTTTTCCCTTGATCTTCTTCATTCACAAATGAAAGACCAAACATTGTAGATGTACCATACTCAATAACTCAGGTAGATGCAAGGTCATCATTTTAACAGAAAACCTCAGTATACCGGCACCATTGTGAAATAAGCACACTCTTGTCAGTGTAAAGGGGTTTGGTTTAATGTAATGCAGATGTCTCTGTAAAGGAGATTTTAACCCTTTCACCCCTACGTAACGTTAATGAACTCTACTACGCATTGATATGGATAGATCCATTATGTTCTACGGTAGCAATGGGTAAAATGGTGGCAGTAATTAAGGTTTCAAAGGGACATTGTATTGAGGTTTTAATGCATTGCACATTTCTATTGGGGATAAAAACGAACAAGTAGACATTTTGTTTTATAGTCATGTTTTCTTTTCATTATCATGAGTTAGCCATAGAAGAACCCCTTACTCTATATATCTAGCAATAAGCCCATGCCTGGTAATAAGCCCATCCATCCATATCTATTGCATTCCAATGAAAATGCCAACAAACGCTTTTTCTTTGTCCTGATCTTAGCACCTTTCTCCCTATCTTGAGTCAAAGTTTATGTGTTGGTCCCCTGGGCTTTAATTAGTGCAGGATACATGTCGTACATAATTATGAGAGATTGATAATAGCCATATAAAATGGGAAATAGATGTTCTGTTTTATTAGATCAAAACATTTAATTTTACACAAGATGCAAAACTACACTGAAAAAATCAAAAGAAATTTAACATCTTCAGTTTTGTTAACTGTTGATTTGTAAAGTTACAATACACATGTAAACTATGGTATCAAAAACTATGTGATGGTATAGAAATCAATGCACTTTAGTTACTTACTTGACGATTCCTTGCTCTATTGATAACTTTTCATCTGCAGCTTCCAGTAAAGTTTTCACCTGATCGGCTTTTTCCTATAAAGATCAAGGAAAAATAGAAAAAAATACATTAAAAATTTAAATATTTTATGAAAAGTTTTTATCCAGTTGATGTTATCAAAATGTTAAACAATTTATTTTTTCGTGTATTTTATTTTGTGAACTTATGCATGGAGATATTACTTGTGAAAATAAGTTGTTATCGTGATTGAGAAGATGCTATATTTCAATACAGATATTAATCATGTTCATAAAAGATTTAAATGCATGAACGAGTCTTTTTGTGAATGAACACAAATATTGATCTCTCATAAAACTAAGAAGGTGTACAGTACTTAATAGTCCTGGCCCCCGTTTCATGAACGTTCCTTAACTTATCTTAGGAGTTCCTTCAATTTAAGGAACCTTCATGAAACAGGGGCCTGAATAATAAAATGGCCAAACTGTGGGTCATGCCTGCTAGTTGCAAGTCATTTCATGATGTAACATATTAAAATTTGATTGTACTAGCATGTTTATTTGAGGAGTAGTTAAACATTTACAGCTTCAAAGTTAAGGTTATGCTTAGGCATTTTCAATATTGGATAAGAATGCAAAATTGTAGGAGATTCAAAGTATACTACAATCTGTGCAGGTCAGGGGGATCATTTGCAAGTTGACTTATGGAAATATAGGAAACTTGGCAATATGAACTTGGATTTAAAACAATATAGTCAGACATGAAAGTATGAAGTTGGCCCTGGCCTCAGGAGTCTCCTGGTGGAACCGTGGGTTACCTCAAAGACTGACAGATTATTGTATCGTGTAGTTACCTCTTGTGGCAGACTCGAAATCCCCGTATGTTTCTGTAGAAGTTTGATGAACCAATCCCCTGTGCATAAGCTGTAAAGACAAAAAATATCATGTAAAATAAACTAAAACATTATGAAATGTATTTAAGTTCCCACAAACTATCCTTTCAGCAAAACTGTAATACCTTTCAAACCTAGATTTTAGAAATTTCCTGTTATTTCAAAGCTCCCATGTTTTAGTTTTAATAGCTCTAACCTAGAAAGGAAATCTTGGGAATACTTTTGGATATGACCAACATCTGTTAAATATACAATAATAGATGGGCTAATAATACCAGACATGGGCTTATCAGTGAAAATGCATGGTTTAAGGTTAATGCATCTTCTTTTTTACTTAATTTCATACTTGTATGAGTATAATTATACCTGCGTTCAGAAACCATCTGCAGAAACTTCATTAATATAAGTGCGGTCTCCTATTGTAGGTGGTCTCTTAATACAGGTTCAATTAACATGAAATTAACTGCATTTGGCAAGTTATCAAAGTGGTCTCTTAACACAGGTGGTCTCTTAACACAGGTGGTATATTAACACCAGTGGTCGCTTAACACAAGTGGTCTCTTAACACAGGTGGTATATTAACACCAGTGGTCGCTTAACACAAGTGGTCTCTTAACACAGGTNGTGGTCTCTTAACACAAGTGGTCTCTTAACACAGGTGGTATATTAACACCAGTGGTCACTTAACACAAGTGGTCTCTTAACACAGGTGGTATATTAACACCAGTGGTCGCTTAACACAAGTGGTCTCTTAACACAGGTAGTCTCTTAACACAAGTGGTCTCTTAACACAGGTGGTCTCTTAACACAGGTGGTCTCTTAACACAAGTGGTCTCTTACTGGTAATATAGTGGTCTCCCAATCAGGTTTGACTTTTACAAATAGCTTTAAAAATGTTTGAGGACTTTCAAAAGTAAATTTACGAACCAGAGTGTGATAAATATCACATAATTTTTCTTTTTTAAATCCTTAACTGTCAAGATATGATCAAGATTTCTATTTAGACAAACCTTTTAACCTAGAAATTTTCAATTTGAAATGAAATTACTGTACAATCATGAAGTTTTTATGGGAAATTAAATAGATAGCTAAACACTCATCAAAAGAGAACATTCTTAATTGAGTACAACAACTAGATAATTGGTACATATTGATAAAATTTCTCCATTCAAGAACTTGAAAATTGAATATTGCAAAGTCAAAAAGTCTACTACTTACGACACTTCAAGAGCAGTGAGGCTAGTTTGTTAAAGGTATTGGAGAGAATGGGACGACGTAATGTAATACGATGAAATTAATCTTTCCCCGACAGATACAATCAATGGGGTTATTCAGAGGCGACGAAAATCGGCAATTAGCTTGGTTGAACGATCACAGTGACATTTGTTGTTTACGGAGGTGTATACGCCAAATCAATGTCAACTTATATTTAGGCTTGGATTTAATCCTCTTGTAAAACGCTCACTAGAGGCGTGAATAACATTTTAGGCAGAATTGGCAGTTATAACGATTGGGATTTCAATACTTTCCCAAGCATTTACGTACAGAAACCTTAAACCCATGACTATGTACCTTATGATTCCGTTATTTATACTACCGAGCGAATCTTTAACCAAAGGAAATGAGCTGTGCATGTGATCGAAATCTTAAAAGTTGGAGGTAAAGAAAACCGTATCAGGAATTTCTATGACTATCACAACAAGTCTTATATCATATTCTTTAGATCTACTGTCGGTCATAAAAGTTGTGTTTGTGTACAATGCTGCAGGTCTGTAGGCCAACTTGATCCCCATAAAAAGTGACATTTAACTTCAGGTTTTGCAGAAAGGCCCTGCCTAAGGACCAGTTCTTACACGTATCCTGTATGTTATTTATATAGAGGGATTTCTTGTGTATTGATATATGTAAAGAAATTCATAAACGAAATTATTTAAATATTTTGCAACTGACTGCAAGCAATATATTCTGCCCCATACACAAGTCTGCCTCCATAACCTCCTGTACGCTGGGGGGAACTACCAGACAAATATCCCCAGACTTGTACCTATCATAATACAACACCTTGGATTAGTCATACTCGAAATAACCTTTATATTGTAATCTATTTCCTCTATTAGATATTTCAAAGGGTTCAGAATAATGTTTTTCTAGAAATTTTCAAATATTAAAAAAATGTTNGGGGGGGGGGGGGGGGGGGGATTAGACATACTCGTAATAACCTTTTTATTTTAATCTGTTTTCTCTGTTAGATATTTCAAGGGATTGAGAATAATGCCAAATGTCAGTCATTTAAGTAAGTTATGAAGCATCATGGCATACAATCATCTTTTAAAATGAATTTTGCATAATATAAGTGAGGAAAAAGTTTGAGAAATTTTCTACTTTTAAAAAACTGCTGACTTTGCTGAAATAGGTTCTTATTGATCTGAAAATTCCAATTTTCCAGTCAACTCAACTTATACTGCATTTAGGATGTACTCCTGTCTTTTCATGTAGATAGATGAGGTTATATGACATACATGTGTAGAAACTAATAACACAAATGTTTCATGGTATACAGAAATCTCAGTGACCTGATGGCTATTGATCCAGGTTCCACTCACTCACTTACTCACTCAGTACACCCAAACCAAAACGTCTAGACTAACAAGGTTCCACTGTACACACAAACCAAACCGTCTAGACTAACAAGGTTCCACTGTACACACAAACCAAAGCATCTAGACTAACAAGGTTCCACTGTACACACACACCAAAGTGTTCAGACTAACAAGGTTCCACTGTACACACAAACCAAAGTGTTCCGACTAACAAGGTTCCACTGTACACACAAACCAAAGTGTTCATACTGACAAGAATCTACTGTACACACAAACCAAAGTGTTCAGACTGACAAGGTTGTACTGAACACATAAACCAAAGTGTCTAGACTAACAAGGTTCTACTATACACACAAACCAAAGTGTCTTAGACTGACAAGGATCTACTGTACACACAAACCAAAGTGTCCAGACTGACAAGGTTCTACTGTACACACAAACCAAAGTGTGTCCAGACTGACAAGGTTCTACTATACACACAAACCAAAGTGTTCAGACTGACAAGGTTCTACTGTACACACAAACCAAAGTGTCTAGACTAACAAGGTTCTCACTGTACACACAAACAAAAGTGTCTAGACTGACAAGGTTGTACTGTACACACAAACAAAAGTGTCTAGAATAACAAGGTTGTACTGTACACATAAACCAAAGTGTCTAGACTGACAAGGTTCTCACTGTACACACAAACCAAAATGTCCAGACTAACAAGGTTCCACTGTACACAAAAGCCATAGTATCCAGACTAACAAGGGTCTACTGTACATACAAACCAAAGTGTCCAGACTGACAAGGTTTTCACTGTACACACAAACCTTGTATTAACAAGGTTTCACATTTTCCGATTGTTCGGATTGATATTAAGGTTCTTATGTACACAATTTAAGTGCCAAAGTAATAAGGTTCCACTGACCTTATGAAAACGGATCAGATGATGAAGATCTGAGTTCAAACACATAATGAGCGGCTGTTATACTCTCTATTGATAAGAGATGGATGAAAAACATGGAAATTTGATATAAAACACAGAAAAGTTGACTTGTCACAGCATGCAAAGCTATCAAAGTGATATTATACACACCTGGGCACAATTGCCTAAGCTTGGTTAACTTGACAATTTACAAATGCAATTTTATTTTTGCCAAATTTCAATATGTTTACATAAATCTTTGATTTGTTTCCTTCATTCATCATCAAGTATCCTTACTGTCATTTAAATACTGATTTAAGTTCTGAAGTTAAAAAAAAAAGAATTTTAAATTATTCTGGAGAAAAAATGTAAAAAACATTTCAGTTAAGCTGATGATGCTTTCAACAAACTGAGACAAGGAAATAACTGTATACAACAGGTAACTTTGCTTATGTTTTCATTGAATTCATTTTCTCCTCAATTTGAATCTAAATGATTCAACCCAGGTACTCTGAAAAAGTAAATTCGCAATTCAATATTCAAATATGGTAATGCATTTTCCTTGAGGTTTAATTTGGTATGTTTTTCAATAGAATGAGTCAGAGTTCGTAACAGGATGTTTTTTTATGTTTAAACCCTCTGTACCAGTTGATTTACTATCAGCTTACAAGGGAAGCACATGAACCAAGTGTAACTATGTACACTACTTATATAAAGGTTTTTTTCAATTCAGGAAAGGAGTACACTGTAGTTGATACAAGACCTCAAAGACAAAAAACCTTCATTGATTTTCTACATTTTTTGTCAGCTTAGGATCCCTTCTCATGTTAAGTAAACTTTTCAATTGAGAAAATATTTTCAATTTCTTTTACCAAATATAGAACTCATGAAAATTATCTCCTGCTGTGAATCAAACATATTTCATAGTTGTCTCCCTCATTCCATATTTCCAATGAGGGAGAAAGTGTGAGAAACACAACTGAAACTGCTTTGCTCAATTTATCTTTCCCTTTTTATGTATCAAAATAACTCCAAAAAACATTCATTTGATTCAGACACACCTGTTATAATCATCACACACACTCTGCAGTAACTAGGAGATCATTTGACCACAGGATGTAGATTTTGAGTTTGTGTGAGTTTGGACTTGAATGAGGGAGTTTCAAGTCACTCCTAATGAGGGAGGGCTGCAATTGACAGCTGTGACATTTTCAAACTACAATGTTCAGTATTGTAGTATTGTACTGGATACCATACATTCATTGAAATGGTGGAATAAATGTTGAAAATTTAGGACAATATTATATCAAACTAAAATTATTGTCCATTTTGATTAATAAACCTTACTTTGTAAAAATATGGATAAGTTTCTTCATGTTTATTCAAAATTATGTCCCATTTACTTAACTAAGTTCAGGACAGGTAGAGGCACACTGGCAAAACAGGAAGATAGATCACTACATGTATTATAGATTCTAAAAATATTTACATGAATTCAAATTACCCCACAGAAGCACAAATCGGTGGCACTCAACCCCTGGTATTCTCTATTTCTATGTATTTTACGATTTGCATATAGAATCTAGCATAGGATATTTGCTATTAATTTTTTCTTTAACAAACATGCCATTTCTGAGTATTTCTGATATGGAACCAATTTTCCATTCATCACTTTGATTGTGATAATATGTCACTCTCTACATGCAGTGCCAATATATCAAGTGTTTTATATTCCAGTAATTATCTAGAGTTGTCCCATACATATACAGAAGGAATTTTATTTCTAATTATTGTTCATGCCTGACTTGGGTATACAAAACATACAGGTTACCGTAATTGGCCTTTAAAGAACACTGGAGACTTTGTTCTGACAGCCAAGTTAAGGCAAGTACTGTAATACCACACATATGGGCAGCCTGTTGGCAGCATTGATATTTTTAAACATATTGGTGATCTTTGTAATAATAAATAATACAATTTTCCTTTTAATTCCTACATAATTTCTGGATATAGAAAAACAAATATTTTTTATTGATAGTCTTTGTTCAAAAAACTAAATCTGTATTTTTTTTTGTTTTTTTAATAAGACAATAAAAAAAACATGTTTCTTTCGTGTTTCATGTAGGGAAGGTAGGTAAGTAATAAAGTTTATCTTTCCTTTTTTTATTTAATAAGGTAAATATTGGAGAGTAAACTTGACTTGAAAATTGACAACAACATTTTTTATTTGGCCTAAGAAAAACATTGCAGACCTTTTTTCACACACCTATCCTCCATTAGCAATGAACAAAACAGTTCCCACTGTGAGAGTAATAAATATAACTAGTATTGCAGAAATGTAATTCATCTAACAGCTGCTTTAAAAAAAATGGGTGGGCTTATATGTGAGCATGGCCTTATCTTAGGTAAAATATGGTATAGGTTTCTGAGCGATTCCAATGTTTACCTTGTGCAATTTATCAATTCACTTTTACCTGACTGAACCTGTACAAGTGTCGCTAGAAGCCATTACGTTTTAAGTACAAACTGCGTAATTTTAATCAATGTTCCACACCAGGATGGTATTTTAAGGTTCAACAAGCTTGATGTGGAAAAACAAAATGTCCATACTTTTTTAACAGAAGTGATTCTAGACTACTGTTAACTATCTTTAAAGCAAGTTAGAAATTTTGATGAAACATATGAATTTTACAGAATATTGTCATTTTGATTTTCTGTATAAGGTACAAATCAATTAAAACATATCCAAATAACAAGATATTAACTTCAATGAGTTCAAAACACATCCTTTACCTTCAACATCAAAACTGTCATATATTTACAGTAGGTTTTTGATGTAGTCAAAATACAATGTGTGTAAATTTCGACAGGTGTGTCTATTCATCTATGAGGGTACTTGAAAATATCTCAGGTACGCCAGGTACAAATTTGTCCATGAAAATCAAAAAATCGTTAAAACACTGCACTTCATGTTTGTACACTAAATAAACAATTTTCAGGCAAACCAAACATCTCCAAAGCAGAAGAGTTGTACAATTCCATGCAAATTTTTGTTTGGTTAAGCATTTTGAGATGACCGAGGGCTTAAATACAGCTACTTGGTCAACTCCAAGGGCTTAAATACAGCTACTTGGGGTTTCCTATCTTTTGTAAATTTTACTTAAAATACTGTGGCCTACACTTTACAGCTAAAATTTCAACATTATTTAGGATCACTTTTTGAGCAAACTTTATTTCTATATCAAATAATTCATCAAACTTTATATATATTTTACAACAATTACGAAACAAGTTCTACCAATTTATATTAATCACGCTTGCCTAGATGGTAGCGAGCAGGAGGTACTTAATGTGGAAGGAAAATGGATTATCTGGAGAAAACCCAAGTGGTCGGGCAGGTGACCCCATACCTTTTCATGTCTGATCGGGGAATCAAACCCAAAAATGATCTGGTGAAAGGCAACAGGGGTTTTATTTGTATATAGGTCAGCAATCCTTACCATATTCAAACTTTAAATCATTTCATATTCTTTATAATTGTATGGATTGTTAATCAAATGTTTCTGACAGGCCTGGAACTATAAAGATGACATCCTCTTATAAGAATATAGACCAAAGAACAAAGGTTGTTGTAGCTAATTTGAAAATATTTTGAGGTTGGGAAGAAGACATATGAAAGCCCTTTTTGGCCCCTTTTCATCAGTGACAACTTTTAAACTTGTAGGCAAGGGGTATTTGTCTCTTTTATACTTGACAAGACATTTTACTTGTAGTCAAGTGTATCTCTGGTGTCAAAGACACTTAGGTATTAACAAGCGAGTGTATTTCTAGGGTTGTAAGTGTCCCCTTCTTAATCACTGACACGACACTTGTCAGAGAAGCATATTTCTGGAGTCAAAGTGAGCCCCACATTTTTCATCACAAAAATGACACTCGGGTACTTGAAATTGAAGGCATCGGTACCAATACTGAGTGGACCCTATTTATCAGTACTAAGAGGGACCCTCTTTATCACTGAAAAGTCACATTTTTTGCAATGGTAATTCCAGAGTCAAACAGGCCCTTTTTTTTGAGTGATTACTGGACTGAAGATTATAACGCTTGCTTTTTAAAGCAATGGTATTTATGGGGTGACAGAGACCAGTCTTTTTCATCACTGACCAATAGTGCTTGACACAGACTTACTTGTCAGAGAGGATATTTCTGGGGTCAAAGTGGCCCCTTTTACACCCCTGATCAATAGTGCTTGACACAGACTTACTTGTAAGCAATGGTATTTCTTGGGTAAAAGTGGCCCCTTTTTCATCACTGACCAATAATGCTTGACACAGACTTACTTGTAAGCGAGGTGTTTCTGGGGTCGAAGTGGCCCCATTTTCATCACTGACCCATAATACTTGACACAGACTTACTTGTAAGCTAGGGTGTTTCTTGGGTCAAAGTGGCCCCATTTTCATCACTGACCCATAATGCTTGACACAGACTTACTTGTAAGCTAGGGTATTTCTGGGGTCAAAGTGGGCCCTTTTTCACCACTGAACCATAATACTTGACACAGACTTACTTGTAAGCAAGGGTGTTTCTGGGGTCAAAGTCGGCCTCTAGTTGCCCTTGACACCATTCAAGGATGTATTTCTTTGCAATTCCAACACTTCTTTGGAACACTCCACGTTCTGTGAACAAAAAATATAGTGTTCCATTATACTTAACATCCATAAAATGCAAATACAGAATCTAGTTAATCTGAATTAATGTCTCTATATTTAAACATCTCCAAGGAAATAATATCTGTGTAATTTGTCCACCTGTATATATATATATTACGAAGAGAACTGTCCTGGACCTGTGGAATTCAGTTAAGACAGATTTTATAAAAGGAACCGAAGGCAATTTTAACCTTAGAGTCCAAGCACTTTATGCACAATTTAAAATGACAATTTACATACAAATCCATAAAGTTCAGCATCCAACAATGTTTTAGAATCCGGTATTTGAATTTGCAAAATAAGCAAGAGCTATAAACCCGGCAAAGTGAATAACAACATTGAGATGTAAATTTAAATTCAGAGCTTTCACTCACATGATGTTTAACCCTTTTACCCCTATGTAACTTTAGTAGACTCTACCATGCATTGATATGGATGAGTCTATTATGGTCTACAGTTGTGAAAGGGTTAAATCTAAAACCAGGAATACACAATTTTTACAGAATATATTTGGTGGCCAACTGAACAACTTATATTGTTTTTTTTATAACATCACAACAAAATTTCATCATTTCAAAAAGCATTTTTAGCAAGAAACACATCCATGAAATTGTGAGTTTGAAATTTAAACCTACCTGAATTTTGAAATGAACATGTACATGAAACATAAACATGTTTAGAATGGTCATGAAGATATATACACGACTAAGTGTCTACATGTATAAGTAATGTTTTAACTTTCATGGTACCTTGGGCAATAGTATACAGATACCAGGGTAAAGTTGTTAAAAGCATGGTCAACTTAACGAAAAAGTGGAAACAGAAAATTTTCATCAAATTTTTATAGTTTTCTATTAAAAATTTATAACTAAACTTACATGCATACCAGAAATTTTAAACAGTTTTCCCACACATTAACTTAAAGAAGAAACATGGAGTATATTCTAATAAAATTGAAAATTTAATAAATTTTTCAGTAAAGAATTTTTGATAAAGCTAACAATGCTGTGTAAACTGTGCCCAGTAATCTAACATTAGCGTCTTTCTCATCATGTATTCATGACGTTTACAATAAAGTACTTAAGACCCTTGGCTCTAGTCTTTGTAGGTACTATACGAGTATATCCTGATCAACAGAATGTTATTGTTTGTCGAATGAAAATCATACAGTGAATGATTTCTATTTTAATGTTTTTATCTAGAAATTTAATGAGTTTTATTTTTCAAGCTTGAAGGAACGTGTTTAATATAAGTTCAAATGAACACAATTAAATATCAAAGCCTATTCAACATTTACTGGATGTAAATTAATATTTTAGCATTTTCTGAAATGGACATTAGATTTTCAAGTGGTTAATTCAATTTTCTATCTTGGTTCTATCTTGGTAGCATGATGGTCAGGTCAGACTGGAGAGGATAGCTTGGACAATGTGACCCAACTTGTTACCCATTATACATGTACAACTGAAACAGGACATGTTCTTATAGGAAAACATTGAATGACAGAGTCAGACATAAAATCAATGCAGCCGAAACGCAACTTACATATAACGTCCTAGCTCATACAGGAATTTCCTATGTTTGCTGAGCATGCCGGATGATAAACTCTTACTTAATGCGTACAAACACTTGAAAATTTACAACCTGTTCCAGGAATTACACCTGTTGACATTTTTTTTATGATAAAACATTCAGAACTTACACACTTCTTTAACTCATTTACCTCTGAAGACATATTTGAACTCTTCCAATTCAAAGGTTGGAACAGTCCATTATGAAATTTTAGGGGTGAATGAGTTAGTCAGGTCCAAAGCGCATTTTTTAATAAAATTGTTTTACAATATTGATATAGAAGCATATATGAGCAATGTTTCGATTACATTGTATTTGGGTTTCCTTGTATAGTTAAACCTGTATCAGGAGACCACCCTCTCAGGAAGGTAAAACACAGGTTGTCTCTTAATAAAGGTTTTATTCACAAAGAATTTTTTTAAGAGGGAAACACAAGAAGTCACAACAGGGTGTGTGTCCATAAAACTGTTCTCATGCAAACTATCTTTCTTGTAATTCACTTAAATCATGTGACATGGTCACCAAGAGTAGTGCAAACTTTGAAAACAGTATAAGGCTTCCAGTCTTATCTAAATTCTTCCAGATCATTGGAAAAATGTTGATTTTTGATTAATTTATCACAGAAAAAAGAAACTGGGCTTGCATGAGCACAGAATCCTAATGTTTGAGCATGAGAACAGTTTCATGAATATGAATAAAACCCTGGTCTCCTAATACCTGTGGTGTCTTTATAGAGATGGTTGTAAAGAGTAATATGGACTATAGTTTATCATTGTTTTTGTTTTAATTTTACATTAAGTGGCATTTAACCATCAATTGTCCCCATACATATTCCGTGATGTTCACAGTAGTGCACCTTGAGAGAATATATATAATTATATATATATATATAAACTTAATTTATTTTACAACAGTTATGGAACTTTTTGAAGTTATTTCAACTTACCAGGTATATTAATCACTGACTCTCGTTGACCCAGATATTAGCCACTGGGAGTCTTAATGTGCGAGGAAATCGGTGTACCTGATTGGAGAATCAAACCCTGGTCGCCTTGGTGAAAGTCGACTGTGTTATCTACTACGCCACCCGGCCACCCTTTGAGAATATATTTGTAAGTACTTGGGTTTCATACCATCATAAATAATAAAGAATATGTATTTTAGTACTTATATTTATATTAAAAAAAAAACCAAATATTATCTATATAACCATTATGTGTCTTTGCGTGAATGAAGAGGAAATAGCATGAACTTAAAAGAAAAATAACCCTTCAGGACTTGTATTCAGAAGAAATGGGGTAAAACTCTCTACCTTATAATCAATACATTAAGGACTGAAGGACGCAGCACCTATTATTTGTAGATGCCATTTTTGTGTGAAAACCTTTCCAACAATAGCCTGTATACTTCTCAAATTGGTGTGAAACTTAGTTTAAGTGACTTGAGTGTTAAGTTAAATTTAGCTAGACAAATAGTAATGTCTGGGTATTTGACCTGAAAACATCAGAGCCAAGAACTCATTAACACTCTTCTATTAAATATTTAACCCTTTTTCAATGTCTAGAACACTCAACACCTTTGAAGCCATCAAAAGTCGGTATTCAATGATCCCTCAAATCAAAAATAAACTTAACATTGATGGAAAAAACTATAAACACTTATGAATGTCGTAGACACACAAATGTAGTTGGGAGCGAAATAAAGTCTTCGCCGAGGTCGATTGTATGTTGGTGTACTTAGTTTGTATGTAAAATCAACTTGTGAAAACTTGTGCCATTTACCGTCTCGTAATCAAGTAGAAAAGTAAATATGGGATTATTCACCCTTCCAAATAGGAGTATGATGATTAGTTAGCTTGAAAACATATTTAAAGTTCCAGGCCCCACCATTTCCTGACTGTGTCATATTAATTTGGTTTGCGTTACAGGAGTTTCAAAGGAGAAAATCTTCTGTTAAGGAAGTTGTCCTTGAAATTAGAAAATGCTTCCCTAAGGAAAATTTTATGATCAGGAAATTTCTTAATGTTGAGAAATATTCTTCAAGAGTACGGCCTGTCAATATACAGTAGTGTTCCCATGTACCACATCTTATTAAAACTTTTTGCCATGAAAGCCACCTCCATCCCAAAGGCACCCCTGTAGATATGAGGGATATTTGCCTGCTAAATAGATGTGTATATATATGGAGACGTTAGATATCTATATACAAATATACACCAGTTAATACCAATGTGATCCAAACTACATGAATTAAGTACAGTAGTAGGAGCCTGATTTGTGGGCTTCCCTTCAGAATCAAGGAATTTCTGATGTGCCCTTGGCTTATAAGGCTAAGAAGACATTATTGAGACAAAAACTGATCTACTTCATTGGGCCCCATAGAAATTTCCATACCTTTTTCATTTTTTTTCTTTTCCCCTTTCAGCCTTTTCAAACGAATTTAATACCTGCTTCAAAAATGGTTCATATATCCAGCAATAACGTCAATTTCCACTCAATTATTTCTCTGAAATACGACTATTTCACTCAATGAAACTTGTCTGTTAATTACAATAATACTTTTCCCATAAAATTGACTAGGTCATTCTTAGTGATATGGTCTGAATGCATGTTGCAACAAGAATGTAAACAACAATGTCAACAATGGGAAGCGATATCACAATCATATATTGATGCTGTCAAGGCCAGAAATTATACGCTAGTTATTGCTATATTTAAGGGATGCGTGAATCTTGCTATGGTCTAGATTATCGAAGTGATTAAGTTAACTGTTCATTAGACAAATTCAAGAAAAACTGCTTTGCAGTTCATTAAATGATGACATAAACATAGTTGATGAACCCATGAATTTTGAGCCAAATGTTTGCAGTTTGTTAAATTTGTCTTGATCTCCATCACCTTGTGAACTTGAGATAGTTAAGGAACCCATGAATTTGTGCCAAAGTTTTGCAGTTTGTTAACGTTGTCTTGATCTCCATCACCTCGTGAACTTGACATAGTTTATGAACCCATGAATTTTGAGCCAAATGTTTTCAGTTTGTTAAATTTGTCTTGTTCTCCATCACCTTGTGAAATTGACATAGTTGATGAACCCATGAATTTTGAGCCAAATGTTTGCAGCTTGTTAAATTTGTCTTGTTCTCCATCACCTTGTGAACTTGAGATAGTTAAGGAACCCATGAATTTGAGCCAAATGTTTGCAGTTTGTTAAATTTATCTTGATCTCCATCACCTTGTTAACTTGACCATAAAGACAGGAATTATTCCATTGACTGTATTATATCAAATTAAAACTGTTCATCAGTACAGTACCATTCCCGACAGCTCTTTTCCTTTTTACTAAATGATTCTAACAAATCTTTAAACCGGTCGAACCCAGGTATTATAGACGTAAGGCACCTTTCTATTAAAACCCTTTCTATTAAAACCCAGGAGATCACAAGAATTGTGGGATTATAATTTGATCGTAAATGCTGGAACAATATTATGATAGCGAGGCCCTGGGCCTGTCGTCAGCTGTCAATACAAACACCTCAACGGTGAATATCCGAAAAGGTGACATCAAGCAAGAGAATCGGAAACCAAACATTTAGGGTCCCGTTGGCTCGAGTTAAGGGTTTATCGGGGTAGAAAACCACCTATAGTCCCTTGAGTACACACGGCCAGGTACCTAGAGACTACATGTAGTGTTTAAAATTTGTGTAAGTCTGTAGACTATACACCACAGCTATGTTGAATAATATTACAATAATGTTAACATGGAATTTATGGGGTATGACATATATATACCAACGACACAAATCTGTCATCTAGTTGAGTACTGCCTTAATATTTCAAAATTCGTTTTCAAATATTACACCCAATATGAATCGCTGAATAAATTCATGCTTAATCATGTTATGTTGTTGTACGGTTTGTTCGGTTTGTTTTACGTCCTATTAACAGCTATGGTCATTTAAGGACGTGCCAGGTTTTGGTGTTGGATGAAAGCCAAAGATCTGGGAGAAAAACCATGTACCTACGGCCAGTACCTGGTGACTGCCCCACATAGGTCTAAAACCCGCAACCCAGTGGTGGAGGGCTAGTGGTAGCAGAATGTCAGATGCCTTAACCACTTGGCCACCGCAGTTCCGTTACTGTAGGGAGGTTTATCAAATGTTCTAACCCATACATTATGTACTTCAGTGTTAGCTTTATCTTTGTCGTCCCATACTTCAGTGTTAGCTTTATCTTTGTCGTCCCATACTTCAGTGTTAGCTTTATCTATGTCCCATACTTCAGTGTTAGCTTTATCTATGTCCCATACTTCAGTGTTAGCTTTATCTATGTCCCATACTTCAGTGTTAGCTTTATCTATGTCCCATACTTCAGTGTTAGCTTTATCTATGTCCCATACTTCAGTGTTAGCTTTATCTATGTCCCATACTTCAGTGTTAGCTTTATCTATGTCCCATACTTCAGTGTTAGCTTTATCTATGTCCCATACTTCAGTGTTAGCTTTATCTATGTCCCATACTTCAGAGTTAGCTTTATCTATATCCCATACTTCAGAGTTAGCTTTATCTATGTCCCATACTTCAGTGTTATCTTTATATATGTCCCATTCTTCGTGTTAACTTTATCTGTGTCCCATATTTCAGTGTTAGCTGTATCTATGTCGCATACTTCAGTGTTAGCTTTATCTGTGTCCCATACTTCAGTGTTAGCTTTATCTGTGTCCCATACTTCAGAGTTAGGTTTTTCTATGTCCTATACTTCAGTGTAAGCTTTATTTATGTCCCATACTTCAGTGTTAGCTTTATCTGTATCCCATACTTCAGTGTTAAATTTATCTATGTCCCATACTTCAGTGTTAGATTTATTTATGTCCCATACTTCAGTGTTAGCTTTATCTATGTCCCATACTTCAATGTTAACTTTATCTATGCTCCATACTTCAGAGTTTAAGGTTTATCTATGTCCCATACTTCAGTGTTAGCTTTATAGATGTGTCATACTTCAGGTTAGCTTTATATATGTATCATACTTCATATGCAATGACGGACATCACAAACTTACCTATTGGGTGGATACAGTAGTTCAAGATGATCAGCCAGAGGGCATCAAGCATAGACTTCACATCCTTGTCCAAAAGATCTGAAAAACAGAAAAGATTGTCTTTAAAATGAAGTTAAACAAATTATCAATCTTTATCCTCTAGTATCACAGTGTCAGCACATCTGATTTCAAGCTTGAGTCAGAGACTGTCTGTCTACACAAGTAAGACTGCTTCTATTAGTTTATATTTATTACATACGTACATCAATCTGTGTCTGTTCTGTTGAATAAGGGAGACATAAATAAAACATGCTATTGCATTTGTTCACTGATTTCCTGATATGGCTAAGTTTCAAAACTATTCATGATTTATGCAATCTCTTTTTGTATTTTGTTGACTTAAAAATAAATTCCCCTGAAGGTACTATCTCTTAAACAATGATTATTGTTCTGGTCCATCCAGCTGTACAAAATGTAGCTACATGTATAAGGTTAAGCAAACATGCTGCCAAAAACCCTTGTGAAAAACTCAGGTACACATTCTAAGTAATTGTGATCTAATCATTTTCAGTCCATAGACACTTGAATAAGTTGTTTTTTATTCACCTCTTTTACCTCTATTACCTCAAAGAGCCGTAAGGATGTATGCTTACTTACATAAATTATAATACCTGTAATTTTGTGTTAAAATTATCTCCCTTGATTTTCTTTTTTTTTTAAATCAGCCACATATGAACATTTGTTTGCTTTTCAAATGTATCAATTCACATTCATAATTCATATTTTACAATATTCAAGATGTAGAACTCTTTTGGGAAGGAGATATGTCCTGTCAAAATAAGGTACCATGTACCCTTAACCTTTACTCAACGAAATCACCTTTTGATGCATATAATACAGTCTCCATGAATAAGCTTGCTGTTTTGGTTGATTGAACTACAGAATAATCATTTAAGAAAAAAAAACTCTAAATGAAAATGTTTCCATTTACCAAAAAGAGCCATTTGTATACCCAAAAATACTTCTAAAGAAAAACAACAAAACAAAGTGCTTTAATGGTGCAAGTTTGTTGATATAACTAGGTCACAGTCGGCACAACAATTTATCTTTTCTCCATCAGTACAGAGTTGCCAGGTGCGTAATGGCTTGTGTGGAGCAAAAGGTTAATTAACTATGTAAGTCTGTCGAACATTGGGCCTTAATTAAAGCAGACTACTACAAACATTGTGTATTAGAACACATGTAAGCTCCGATGTCAGATAGCCTTCATAGAAATCAATGTCTGTGGTACAATTAGGTCAATCGTCTTTTGAAACATGCACATGTATAATGATTCAGGTTTTTAGGCCACACCTCTTTGCATAACAGTGCATACAACCTGATCAGCACAACAGAATGTAAGCATGTTTGTACAAATGTAACACATGTATGTCTTTTGCAGTCTGAATACAATTACATGTACCATAGTTCACCTGTAATTTAGCTACGAAAGAATCCATGGGTCAAAAAAAGAACTAATTCGAAAGGTTATTTTGAATAATTAATCTGCTAATCATATGCAAAATAATATGTAGCTTCCAACAATTTAAAAGAGCACATTTTCGAAATCTGTAGAAAAATAGTGTCGGCTTAAATCTCAAAGTATGAGCTTATTGTAGGTATAAACAACTGTTATATGTGTATGCATAGATGAAATAAGGGTACCTTCAAGGATTTTATAAATATAACTAGCATAGATTGATTGAGTGTTTATTGTAAAATTTTAACTGTTACAGATTTTTTTTAATTTCCGTAGTTGGACAACTAATCTGCCATCAAAACGGTGCTATATCAATTCTGACACATGGAATACTTTTAGTAGCTGCTTATATATGTTGATCAATGCAATATACACAATGATATATACCATTTTATAAATGGGGAATTCAACTTGGGGAAAAACGAAGCCTTCATGTCCCTGTCAGGTTGGGAATATTATAGTCAAAGTATCTAATGTTATACTCGTTTGATGAAAAATACATCTTTATGTAACACACCCCACTTGCCATTTTGCCTGCTCCATGCAGACACCCTTATTACATCAAATACGGTACCTTATTAGCTGGAATATGTACCCTGTCAAACTCAGCACATAGCTGTGAATTGTATACAAGTTGTAACAGTATGTTTTTTACCAATAAGTCTGACGATGGTATACTATAAATGACACCATTATAGTGTCATTTCTACTGTCTGTTAAAACTGTCTATCATATCGGAAAAGGATATATTTCCCCATTGGTATTTTAACCCCCATGTATAATTATCTGAAATATAACCAAGTCTGGTAATAGTTTTTATTTTCCGTCCCTTTAAAAATACCTGAACACAACAATATAGACAAAATAATTATGATCAAGTGGCCAAATGTTATATTATCACTGACATTTGATTCAGAAGTCTGATAAGATATTTTTTTTCAAGATTTCAAATTTTTCAATTGAATTGAAAATATATTTTTTTATAAGTCTTTTGTACATACAGTTTAGCAAATTGAACATCTATTTATACAGGGGGGAAGGGAGCAAATGCAAGCGTCATCTTTAACAGCAGATACACTCTACAATCATAATAACATCTTATATCTTCAAACTGTTTAGCTTCAGGAGTCTATTCAGGGAAGAGCATGATTGGGGATTGGTGAAAAAAACAAAGACATCGAAGTGAAAAGGGATGAATATGCTTTAATAACCCCCTAGCTTTTACTATCATGGAGAAAAAGAAAAAAAAAGATGAAAAAGGAAGAATCACATCTTGACATAAACGCAAAACATTACAGTACATGTAATCATATAAAAATACCAAAACAGGATATTTTCATAAATATTGATATGTCATTAGGAAACGATATTATACCTTAATCATGAACAAAATTCATAAAATTTTCTTAGTGGAATAAGTAAACAAAATAAATTTGTTTGTACTGTCAGTCAGCGAAGTTTCCATAAAAATATTACCTGTGGGCGTTATTGCTTACAACGTCCGTACGTTGATTTACGACACCACGTATATTATACTACAGTTAAGTCGGGACTATTCAAACATTATTATGGTAAAACTGCCGACCCTAACAAAGGCATTTCAGGTGCCCTGGAATGGCTTTTTAAGGACTTAATAAAGCTGGGTGGATATATGGATGTTCACCTAATATTTGTCGGAAGTACCTTCCAAGATAAAACAGACACTTGTCAACACTTCAACAAGACATCGGGATGTTGACATTTGGCTTTTAATCTTGTTCATACATACACTTTGCTTTGGCAGGTTATTTCATAAACATTTGGACATGAACTGTATATATACTCAAACACTACCCAATATGTTTATACACGGATGTGACCATAGTCAATTTTGTACTTATACATGTATGCGTAGGTACCTTTAAAATGTTTGAGAAGTTTCTTGAACAAATATTTTAAAAGTACAGAAAAGACCCTGCTTATTCCCAAAAACACCTTTTAAATATTTGAAAGCATTCTTGAACAGTGTAGAAATGAACTAATGCTTATTTTAAGTTTTGTGCCAATTCATACTTTTAAAATTTTCAAAATGTGATGCTATTAATTCCAAAACACATGTATTTCAAAGGTATTAAAAATATGTTTCAAAGTAATTTTTCAATGAACATTTAATTGTTGTTTATTTTGAATGAAGCAAAGCAATTAACTCCTCAGTGAAATTGACTTAAGAATATATGTTACCTCTAACCAAAAGAGTTCTAATATAAATCCTGCAAAATTTCACAAATGATTATAAAAACATTATACAAATAGACATTCATTGAAAACTCTCAGGTAACATCAAATTGCTAAATAATTCTAACACAAATCATTGGAAAATAAGATATCATACACCCTTAAGCCAAACCCTTTTTCGGTATTTTTACTTAGCAGACACCATTATTAGATAAATCTAACAGAAAAAAACCCATCTAAGTTTCTTTTCTTTGCTACAAACTGAAGGAAACTAGATTTAGTCTCACAAAATATGATACATGTATATATATATACAATACCAGATTGCTTCAAATCCTCAGCCCTTTGAATACACAGATCAAACGACAGGTATGGTATCTAGTGCTTACAGCACATGCATTATTTACAAAGCCCTATTAAAGGTTGACATGTTTTTTACCTGCTAAAGAGATTAACACAGCACAGTACTGAAAATCAATATATTGATTCCTTTGGCTGAGACAGATGTTTGCCTCAACAGGAACCTTTAAACTTTTATGTTTATATATCTATATATATGTACATTATGAACAACACAATATCTTACAAAAAGCCTTTTATCTACCAAGTATACCAAACTTTTTTTTTGAAGTTTTTAAAAAATACATTTTCAGAATTAAGAATAAGCTGTATGGACCTGCCACAATACATGTAATAATAATAATAATTTGAGGTTCTTATATACTGCTTCATCACAACCTATTTTGTAGGTGAATGTCTCAAAGTGATTCACAAACTATTATCTGTGGTTATATAGGGCCTTTGCAACCAGCCAATATCTTTCTCAACTCACTGGGGAGCATACAGCCGGAGACTCATAGCTAGCATTCAACAATTCCAGCACTGCCCAACCACGTACTCATTTACAGCTGAGTAGACTGGAACAAGTGGAGTAAAGTATCTTGCTCAAAGATACAACACAGTGCCGTGACCTGACTCGAACCTGCAACCATTCAGTCATGAGCCCGCTATATTATATAGATTTGGCTGTACTATGACCTATCTGTTAAACATATATAGTCAAGTATGTACCTTAATTTACCATAAGTCATATATAATGGCAATTGAGAATTACCTACTGGATACCAGTGGCCAGAAAGAATGTTGAGGAAAGAAGATTCAAAATCATAAATGCTACATTTCTCTCTGAGCTAGATGACAAATTTACCTTGCAAAAGAACCTACATTAACAGATATGGGTCAAAGAAGTAATATAGACGGTAAAATCCCATATAACACTGGATCCTAATATTAACATATATATATATGATGAAAGATTGACTACTGGTAACAACCATCCATTGGCTATCTCATCACTAGAAAATAT